AACTAAGAGGAAGGAGCTCAATTCTCAGCCAACAAAACTAACAAAGGTGAAGAACATTTTAAAATCCAAGTGCCGCCTTTCATTTAATAGTGAGACGCAATTTAAAATAATTTTTAGGTATTCTGCTTTGAAAGCTTTGCATAACTTGCAGCAGAGAATTTTTGGTTTCTCACATAAAAACAGAAAGTTAATGTCTTTTATGAATATGGTGAGAGCATGGTAAACATTCAGTGTACCAAAATGCAGATCAACAAATTATACCCTTAGCTGCCAGAGCAGACAGGTAAAAAACCAGAGAATTATGCAAAAATCCCCAAAACCGTAAAAGCACCTTGAGAGTTGAAATACATAATAATAGACAGCTGGAATGTTGTAATTCACAGGACAAAATACTTCTGTAAGTACTACAGTGCTACAGGTAGCAGAGAGGGACAACCGAGGCTCTGTAGTATTTGTGAAGCAATTTCCCTGCCCTGTGAGCAGCTGCAGTCCCCAGGAGTGCAGCAATCAGGACCACGCCACACTCAGAGCCCAAACCACTGCCACGAGTGCTTAGGCAGCACAAAGCAGAAGTACTCAACCACTTTATACCCTGCAATTCTCCAAGAACTGTTAACAAATCGTGCAAGCCAACAGTGAGGATGAACAGAATAAAGCCAGGCTCCACTGTGCAGTTACCAGAGCTCCCTGCTGTGGTGAGGATGTGACTCGAACTCAGCTCTAATGAAGATAACTTTGCTTGTCCATACAATATTGCACTTCTTGACAAGATCTGGCCTCTAAGACTGAAATTATGTGAAACAGCAACTGAAAAGATCCCTCAGCCAGTGAGGAACACTACATATATTTATAGTTCTTTATCCTAAAAACAAATACCTTCAAATCCCTACTTACACACCAGCCCAAATAAATAATTTTTGCTTCAAATAGGAAAAACTGCACATCAGTAGTTAACATATTTTGCAACCTTTATAAGGGGATAAGAAAAATCACAACAGATTTTTTGCAGTCTGTACTACAGCTTTAGTTTTATTTTGAAGTGTCAGACTCTGTGTCACTGGAAGCAGACATTCCCCCGAAATATTTGTACTCTGCCGACGCAACAGACACTCCACTTGCCAGGGTCTATCAGCAGAACTCCGTCAAGACATGAAATAAGTATATTTTTTAAGAAACACACAGCAAAACTTAATGCATGATGCCTTTAATCAATCAGCTACATAAATTGCTTAAAAGGAGTTTGACTCCAAAGTGGTAGCTGGCTGGATTTGTTTTCATCTTGCTTGTATACAGAGACCCGAGGCATTCTGCTCCTGCCAGACCAAGATATGACTCACCAGCAGGACCTGCCATCTCCAGGCTTAATGCTCAGGGCTGATGAAAAAGCACTGTGTTAATGCCCTGCCAAATGTCACTTCTCTGCTGGGTGCTCAGCATCCTCTGACTGACCACCTCACATCCTACTCTGCCAGCCACTGTCACAGCCCACCTTCCAACCTACAACCCTGACTGACTTGATTGAGCTTCATTCATTCGAGGAAGATGATGATGCCAAGTCAAATGCCACTATTTGAGGCAGGCAGGAAACACTGCCTGTGCTGAAAGATTTCCATGGGGATCTCTTCACTTGTCATGAAGTGACAGAGATCTTCCGAATTGTGACCTGCTGTGAGAAGCTGGTCCCCAGAGCACTGCCCTCTCCTCCAGCTTTTGCTCCTGCCTCTTATTTGCACACAATATATGCCCTGGGTTTTTAAATGTGTGTCCTACTTAGATCTCTGCAATATCTCACAAACTTTCTTGTATTAAAATTGTTTTATTGTCCATCAGCCACGATCAGAGCCCTCAGAAACTAGATCCTCAGATAATGTGATATGGCTGCTCTTCTATTTTTTTTACAAAGGTGAGCTTGTTGAGAGACATGCAGGCATCCCATGCACCTTCTCCTAAATTCAGCAGTAGATATAGGAGTGGGTGAATCCAAAAAGCCTTCTAGGTCCCTGTCCCATGGTCTGAACTGTACAAAACAAGGCATGAACATTTGGCAACACAGCCCTTAAAGTCCAGAATACACAACTTTTGTAGGAAGTATTGCAACACAGTATAGAGTCATTTTAAAAAGTGCAAACCAACATTGGATGCATTCTGTAGAAGAATTGGGTGAAAATAAGAAAATTGGAAATGAGCTAAGAACGATTTCAGAACTTATTCCTTCAAGTAAAACCACATGGAAAAATCAGATCAGAGTCTCACTGACTGTGCCAGCTCCCATCCTGGATCAATGGGCACTTCCAGACAAAGCAGCACCACATTCATCTCCTGTTATTATTTCTCTTTTGTGACTGATGTATCCTTGCAAGCCATTTCCATGAAATTTTTCAGTGTTTCAGAATAACTAAGTCTCTGTTGTCCAGTGAAGCGAACCTCTTAAGCTTTAAGAATCTTGTACTATACATTTTAGGAAAAAACAATGCAGAAATTGCCCTTGGACAACGACATCAAATACTGGCATACAAAACCTGATTTCCTAACTACAATCTAGTATAAATCATCAGTTTTGAGAAATATGTATTTTAAAAATAAAAGTCAAACCACATAAAGGCAAACATTAGTTAAAGTCTTGCATAACTGATACTGCAATACCCTCTTGTGGTCAAATAGAATGTTTTGTCTAAACACCTGGAATTTTTCCTCTATAAAAAGCCTCTCTAGGCATCTTTTCCTTTGATTCAAAGGAAATAACTGACATATTTCTGCCAGATATTTGTCGTGCCTATCATCACTTTTCTTGTAAAACCAAAAGACTAACCTCAGTCAAGTTCTTCCTCAAAATGACACACTGACTTGCTTGTCAAATTAATTAATCACAAAACAAACTTCTAAGAAAAGGCCATCTTCAACAGTGACACTAATAATAATAATAATAATGCAAGTTTCATGTCCCCAAACAGAAAAAATCAAGATATTCTAATCAGTTTACATTGATGCATGTGGCATGAAACCACAATAAACATCAAGTACAGGACTCAAAGATGTACACAGTAAATCAGTTGTACCAATTCAAATGAGCAAATAAAATGCTAAACTGGCAAATGGGAAAAATGAGGGGAAATAGTTCAGTATCTGTGCCATGTCTGCTGAGATCACTCAATGGCATAAACTTAAAACACATGCTTGTAATCTTTCTGTCCAGTTTATTCGGTGGCTTCAAATAGTCATTTGGGGGCTGTCCTCAGTACAACAACCAGTTTTAGCCTATTACTGTTTAATTTGCAGAAACTGACTTGAAAGAAGGATCAGAATTAATTCTGATCTAATATAGGAACTTTGTATGCAAGAATTAAGAGGAACAGACTTTCCATCAGCATCCATTTCTGAACAGATCAGGAGCTAAAATCCCATGCACTCTGATTAATGCATTAGTTCTTCCAAATGTGCCTCAGATTCCTTTGAAAGCAATCAGATACTGCTAAAACACTGTTCTCCAACCAGCTGCACACACTCCAGCATGGAGAGGACCCTGGACAAAATGTAACAGGATAAGCAGATTCCACAAGAGGAACAGGGACAACTATTAGTCCAGGCTGGAAAGCACTAAATTTCTTCACTTCATGAAAATGCTTTGTAGGTACATGACTTCTTTTGCTTTTTGGCTGAAAGAGGTGAAAAACATTATTCATGTTGCAATTATCTCGGAAAAAATAGCAAACAAACAAAAAGTCTACTAAAATTTAATTCAAAACCAAAGCAAACATGGGGCTTTGAGGTGGAATGTACCTTTTCTTAAATTATGTTATCACAGTCAATTAAAATTCAGAATAATTTTTCCAAAATTATTGTAGAATTGTAGAAGTATTTCTTGCTCATCTTGTCTACATGAAGTGTTTGGATTGTTGTATAATTTCAACTGTTTTTAAAGAAATTATCTGCCAAATTCAGTATGTGTTTCCCAATACTGCAAGCAAATAAGTTTGCCAAAATCCCCCTGAAGAAGTAGATTCAAAGTTCATTAGCATTTACCAGAAAGATAAAACAAGAGGCTAGATTTCATCTGGAACTAATCCACACTACTCAAAAACAAGTCAGTCAAGAATTTCAGAGGAAATTTATACTTGAAATGCTCTGTTTTCCTGCAAGGTCACAATACTTGAGGAAGTGAGTTCATCCCACAGAAGCCCAACAGGCTGACTGCAAAGACAAACACTGACATTTTGGACACTGTTTTGAAAATTCTCACTTTTTATACTAGTGACATTTAAAGTTACCTTAAAACTTCCCATAGTTGCTTAATACCCTCTGAGGAACTCTCCAAGTGCTTAGAAAATACTTTTGATGATCTCTGATTGGTCTTTTCTTAATTTTAAAATAAGAAGCTTTCAGAACAAATTCCTTGAAACACTTAATTTTAACCAAACATCTCTGCTCCAAACAGAGTTCAAGGCTGTCACACTGGGTCTCTGCTCCTCTTCTGGTATGTATTCACAAGTCAGACGTTTCCAATAGAGACAGTAAACACACCAGGGAAACCAGCAGCTTTCAGGAGCTTTTGCTTCTGCTACATAACCACAACAAAAGTCCTCCTGACACTCAGCAGCAATCTCCACAGCACTCTTTGCTATTAAACCAGACTTTATTGTTCAGAGATTTTGAAGAGAGGCTGATCTCAGCTGCAGTCACTGTAACCACCTTGTATGTTAAGAGTTTGCTGGTTACATCTGGAGATCCCATTGCTTCTAATTACAGTCACTTCTTATGAAATTGCTGTCACCATGAAAACCCCAACAGTGCTCAAGCAATGATGCAACATAAAGCAGTAGGAAAGGGGCATCAAATAAGAGGGAAGCAAACCAGTGCTCAGCACTGCCTGTCAGTGCTGCTGTGCATGTTCTTTTCTGAAAGCATTCCAAAGCAGCAGCTGAAAGAAAATGTTAGGAGAGAAGGAACTTTGAACGTGCAAACAATAATAGGTTTCACTTTCTGAGAAGGCAAAATATAGCTAAAAAGGCTTGGTGAATGGTGAGTCTCAAAATGGACAAGTTGGAAAGGGGTTCCAGAATCAGGAGAAATACCTTAGTTAGGTCTCAGCTAACAGCAACCACACCTCTGGGGCAACCAGCCCCAGCTCCTTCTGCATCTCAGCAGCACCCAACCAAGCAGAACTGGCAACCACTGCACAAATGGCTACTTGGGCCTGAGCAGACGAGCAGGCAGAGCAGGTCCAACAGGATAAGATCTGGAGAGTCTGTGGAGGCTGAACAGAGAGGAAGGAGAATCTGGTAAATCACTTGTTCCAGTTCACGCCTCTTTGGCTTGTCTTGATACTCACTGATGCTCACAAGCATTAGGGCTTGATCCAAAGCCAACACTATCAAACAAAATTTGCTGCTGCAGGGACTTTGGATCAGATCCTAATATCTTCCCTTCTAGGGTGACATTATCTCCGCTCTCCTTCACTGGACAAAATCTGTGCTAGTATCTCCTAGCATGCTGGGCTTAAGCTGAAAAGAGATGCAAAGAACTGCATGCTAAGTATCTTTTAGCTTTTAGAGATTTCCACAATGAAGACATAAAAGTGCCAACCCTTATAATTTATTGCAGACACACTGATATTATCACCTCTTCTCATACTCTTGGAAATGGCTGAAATGGAAGCTGAACAGAGTGTTCTGCCAAAATACAATTTTGTATTCCCAGTCTGTAAATCTAGTGAACTTGCCCCATTGTTATGGTGTTTCAGCAGACTGCTGTACGACCTAAGCTTTGGCTGTGCATGCACTACTGACCCAAAGGAACCCGAAATAAAGATCCTTTCTCTGCCACATATCTTGAGTAAGTGTTTATGTTTATACATCAATATACATCATCAGTATGTCTATTAGAACATTCTTGGTAAAATTAAAATCGGCTCTATTTACACCTGCACACTGCCCAAGCTAAGGGAAAGGAAAGAAGAGAGTATCAGTCTCAGGATTTTTTAAAATGGGAAACTAAACCATCCGAAACCTTCACCCCCTTCAGCCTTTCAGAGGAGATCCAGATCCCAGTCCCGATTTCCCCAGGGATGTTTTTGCAGTCTTGTCTGGCTCCGTTTACTTGAGGGACAGGCTGATGCCAGGACTCTGACGCATGCAAAGCCAGGGCAATGTTACTCTCTCCCAGCTGTGCTGAGAGACTCAGACTCTAGCTCAACAGGCTCAGCCTGTTCCACACTCATTCCCTAGCAGGAAAGACTGTGCCTGTCCTGGGGTTGCCAGTCATGAATATTGGTGCAAACTCACTTCCATGTGCAATGTAACACATCATACAGTGATGCAAGTTCTGCTTTCCAGTTTTAGCTATCAAGACAGAAACTCTTGCAAAAGGGTAGAACAGGCTTGTGAAGAACAAGATGCCTAAAGATGGATTAATCAAACTACATACCCTGCAGCCTGCAGGGGAGTGTCCTTCCGTTCCACATTCCTGTCCTGAAAACAATGATGGAGAAAGGCTGGTATGCATTAAATGGTCTGACTTGAAGTAGATGTAGGACAATGCCTGAGACCATGACATTTCTCACTAATTAGCACCATCCAGTAGCACCCAAGTCTGATAATACTCAAATAATGGTTGTATATCAAGATAAAAAATTCTAGGACCTCAGTGCTGAGCTGGTATACCAAGACATATAGTGATAAATAGAACAGTCACGAATTTGATTTTATTTGCACCTGGGGCACATCTACACTGGACTGGGGAGTGCAGCACAGAAATCCATTGCTCCTAGCTCCACATGGTACATGGCTGTGCTGTACAGACAAGCTCAGCTCAGAAGGATGTACAGCTTCAGCACTAGTTCCATGAGCTTAGATGCAGCACAGGTAATCAGCTCAGAGTCAACCCACGTGTCCCTTGAGCCCTGCTGCAGATACAGCTGCAGGAACAGAACAGTTTCCTCTCTTGACTCACAGTATTCTTACAATAGTGGGTGAACTGGTGTTTTCTCTATTTCACACCGAGGAAAGCAAAGGACAGAAAATCAAAGGATTTGCCCTGCAGTCCCACACCAGGTATAGAACAGAGCTGAAGAGCAAAACTCAGATATTCTGACTCCATGTGCTCTTGGCACAGCTGCCTATCTGCACAGAATACTCCCATGGATGTTTGCCTGCAGGAATATAGCTCTGGGAACTCCTAGCAGGGACTTCTGCTGGAAAAGTATGGTAATTTAAAAAATAAGATGCTGTGTCTTGCTCAAGGCATTGAACAAGTGTTTTCTAGAGTGACTCAGGACACGAGTAATTTATTTGCATTTGCACAAGGAATACATTGTGGACATGGTATTCTTACTTCCCCTTAGCAAAAAAGAACACCCTCTCCTCATATAATATGGGAGTAAAGAAAACCCTGGGCTCCATCACTGAAAAGACAGGTTTTAGTACAAGGAATCTGCAGGTGCAAGATAGAGCTGGGCTGTAAGTGTCAAACTGAGCAGCTGAAGAGGCATTCAATTATGATTCAATTATTAACCAATTTAATTAAAGATTAAAAATTTGACACTGTATTTTTTTCTTCTATTCCAAGGTACCAGAACTGGAGTTTCCTAAAGGACCAGGACCAAATGGTGAGTTTTGAACAGACATTTAACTGTACCCAAGTTCTTTTTAGTTTTCATCAATTCGAGCTAGGCTAATATTTCAAATTGAAGCATACCTAGGCATTATTGGCAAAGTCTTTACGACTATTATCTTTAGGAAAAATAAAACAAATGAAGTATTTTCCTCTGCTACCTCTGTGTATTCAATCTGTTTTAATGTTAACAACTTGGCAGAAAGACAGGTGCTGGAAGAATCAGCTTCCTAGTAGCAAATTTGTAAGATAATCATTCTGCTGAAACCCAAGCCACTTACTAAAAATTAAAACAAAACCCTCCCACATCACAACCATTCTAGAGCAGGGTAACTTCTGTCTCAGACAACATTTTATACAGCGCATTTTAAAATTTCTAATTTCCTTTTCTTATCCTATCATAAGACAACAGGGAAAAAAAAACAATTATTTTGCTTTATTTCTACAGCACTTTCATGTACATTCAGTATGATATTTTAAAGTGCATTTAATTCTAATTTCGAATGCAGAAGTGCTGATATTAGAAGTAAAAGTGTTGATATTATAAATAATTTCAGTAAGTTGTACTTTTATAAGAAGCAATTATTTCAATTTTGAAAACTTACTTGTTTTATCCAAGGTAAGAGAAGGAAACAGAAGCCACTGCCAAACTATGTGTCTGTGCTCTCAAGCAAAGTTCCCAACTCAACCAATCAAACTATTGGCAGTCAAATGAATACTGAGCTTGGCAGGGCTCTGGTAAATATGAATTCTTCAGCAGTGGTGCATGAAAGTGGAAACTTGAGGGTGAGCTCCAGCTTTCTTAGTGCTTCAGTAACAGTATAACAGCAACAAAGCAAGTTTTTTTAAGGTTAAAAACAGATCTTGTCTAACAATGCCCTAAGAGATGATCCTCTTCATATTTCAGGTGACTGTGCCATATACAGACAGCACTACAAATCTCATCCATCTTCCCAGGCAAATCTACAGTAAGGATGCCACTAACATCAGACAAAAGACAATTTCTTCCTGTATTTAATCTCCTGAAAACAAACAATTAATGAAGATCTGCTCAGGTGAGTCACAACATAAACAATGCACTTTCAGTTCTGAAAGCCAGCATGACAAAAATGCAGCAGCTTGTTGCATTTCATATAGTTGACAAGGATTCATCAGCTTCTGTCATCTGCATGTTTAAACTTGCTCTAAAGAATAATATTTAAGCACGTGAGACATGCTCTGTGCTTTTCAGCACTCCCTGCTGAGGGAGGGAGACCAAATATTTTTCACATTAGTTTGTTTCTGTGAATTTGCTGCTCTTAAATTCCTTTCTCCTACGGTTTTTTTCTGGTTTAGCTGATGGAAACTCATTGACAAGGAAGCAGGCTTTCACATTTTGCTCTGAAGGCGTGTTGGCTCAGCAACCTGTCTTACACCCTCAGAATTGTCAACCTTGAATTTAGCAGGTTCATAGTCCCTAAAATCTGTAGTTGCCCAGGGAAACCATCCTGAAGCTAAATCAACACAATAATACCAAAAGCCTGTTCAGCTACTGCATCTTCATTACATAGGTTGAAACTTTATGGCCTGTTGTTCTGTAGGGAAAAATCTGCAAGGAGCAGAGCATGGAGAGTGCACACACAGTATCTGCCCTTTTAGCTGTATGCAACTTCTGCAGGATCATGCTCAGGCCTAGAGTGGAGTTCAACACAGATGCCTTTAGCATTGCCTTGACACAAGAGGCTGCAGTCTCTCACCAGACTGAGATGGAGATGGATGCACTCATGCTTTGCAGTTAAAGCTATTCGTTTTTATGATTAGACTTCAGTGGCAGAAGGCAGCTCAGCACACAAAGTGACTACTGTGACCAGTGTGATCACTGATCCAAGTGGTCTCAGGCAAAAAAAAAGGCACTGTAGAAAAGCCAGGTTCCACCCCCTGAAGTCACAATCTCCAAATGGTTCTCCTCCCAGATTCCTCAACACAGTGAGAACTGAAGGATCAGGGCTTTCAATATGACAACTAAGTTACCTAAAAAAGGAAGACCCCATCATGCAACCGGCCCAGGTGAGGAAAGCTGATTCCACTCTGTGCAGACATGAAAGATGATGGAGAACTGAGTTCAGACACACCAAATGGGAACCTTATTTTTGAAACCTCTTGTTCAGCTGAAATGATTTCTGCTCTCTCCTGAGAGCAGAAAACTGCACCAGGAACCCATTTGCTTCACACACCTGAAAGCAGGAGAGGAAAGAGCAGATCAAGACTTCCCTTGTCTTTGTGCTGTCCAGAGCTTTTTCTGAAAACTGCACAGGCCACTCAGAGGTTACACATTTACTGGTGATTGCATAACAGCAAGAGACATTGCACTTGCATGCCTTACTCTGGGTCACAAACTTTACGCTGAGTGGTGGATACCCAGTATCTGTCAGGCTCAAGCTCCTACTCATGTAAGAACATTTCATTTGTAAAGATCAGGGATTTTGTTTTTCAGCATGAAAGCATACTGAGCTCCGTGTTTCCTAACCTCCAGATGGCACTCAGTTTACACCAAGTAATCCACCAGAAAGGACATTAAGCCAGTGCTTAGTGCCTTTTAAAGTACATTAAATAATTCCAGATTCTTTACTCTGTTTACTGTGTGTGAATCCAGAGAATCCTTCCCCCAGAGAGTTCCTGCAAACTGCAGGGTAGGAGGATGGTCTAAGCAGTGCACTATTTAATCCTCCCACTTCACTTAGAACTGGCACTGTTTCAACTGAAGCACTTCTGGTTTTGGACAAGACCTTCCACGTCTTACCCTAAAGATGTGGGTTACTAATTGGAGTCCAGAGATGCAGTGAGGCAACTGGAGCACGGGAAGACACGTCATATAAGAAAAGGTTAAAAAGACTGTTTAAAGTTTAATCTGAAGTGGAAAAAAAGCAGTCTTGGAAAGTGATAGTCTTTAGATACATGTGCATCTCTGGAATGAGAAAAGAAATAATGTGCACTTTGAGGGAGCGTCAGGCAACAGCAAAAATGACAAGCTTAAATTTTAGCATGGAAGAATCACATTATCTTTTTGGGAAGCTAGTAATAAGGATAATACAGCACTGGAATGGATTCCCTGAGGAATCTCCACCTTTGAAGGTTAAACACACACATCCATCAAGAGAGATGTATTTAATAGGATTTGTCTTTTATTGTATAAATTGAATGACTGTCTGCAGAGCTTTTCACCAATTGTTTGACTAACCAGAGCTGTTGGGATCAGAACATATTTTGCAAAAATGATTTTTCAAACACATTCGCAAAGAATTTTTTAAAAATTCCTATTTTAATTACACCAGGTTTAAATAGATTTCACTTCTAAAATACAGATTAATCACATTTTTTAATTGAAATATAGTTCTAATTCTTCTAACTACTCATATAGGATACTTTTCACAAAGTCTAGATGTGTTTCTTTTAATCACATACATCTGAGAGGCTTGTTTAGTGCCCTCCTTACACCCATGTAAAGACACTTCTCAAAGAACCTATGTCATCTCTGTGAATGGCAATAACCAATTTTCTTTTAAAAATTGGAGGAAGTCTTTAATAAAAACGTGTAGTCTTGTGTCCTTAATCAGATAAAGCAGCCATTGAGGTGCCAGCAGTTCCCAAAATGGGGATGTGCAGTGGTGATGTGTGTACAGCACAGGAAAAGCCCAGATTTCCCCTCTGTATGCTCCCTAGCACAGGTCACTTCAGGCCAACAGATCACAACTGGAGAGTCTGTAGGAATAACTGAAAAGGAGCCAAAGTATGCAATAATTTTTGGCTTAATTGCTGAAGAGTCCAACCTTGAAAATGTCACTCTCTGCTTTGTTGCAGGATCACGCCAACCCAGAATTGTGCTGCCTCTTTTGATGTGCAATTAGGTTAATATCTTGACTTTCTGAGTTCAAGCTAACTGAAATTACTCTAAAATACTAAGTGGGCAACAACGGGATAGGACCAGTTCTGTTCACCATAGAACGCCAATTCTGTCATATTTCCTGTGGAAATCAATAGTAACTCTTAAGCATTTTGACATTTTAACGATTAAGGGGGAATGTCTTGAGAACCAAAGTTTCCTATGTGGAATAGATCAGACAATCTGTGTGATATGGGAACATTGTGTAGAACTGGACATCTGATTTTGTTAAATTATTACACTTTCCCTAATAATGACACATAAATTATTTTATGCTGCTACAATTAGCTCTCCAACATTACATTTCCAAAGTTGGTTTGGAACAGCAAACAACAACATGTACAGCAACCTCCAGAAAAGACATTTTGGAAATATCCAGGGTCCTAATCAAAACTGCCTCTGCACCAGCAAGTAGAAGGCAAAAAACAGAAAATCTCTAGACTTCAATTTCATCCCAAGTTTAGCAGACATTTTTCTTTCACAATAATTAACTTTGCCACATAATCCTCATTTATATAAGCAGAGTGTCTTAGAATGATTGGATGGGATTACAATAGTAGTGAAATCTGTAAATAATCAGTGGAAATTCCATTTATCAAAGATATTATGTAGATATTAAACTGTGTGATAAGTTATTTGTAAAGCATTCTTATGGTGTATCACTTGGGCTTCAGTTTTATTAGCCTTTTTCCCTTTTGTTGCAAGATCTCAAACAAGGGATTATCCATGTTTAGAGAATTCATTTTCTTTATTTCTTTCAGTTAAAAAGCACTAGTGAGTAGCTATATTGATTTAGTTCTTCCGTTTGCTATATACTGCTTTCTCTTCTAAATTTTTGAGTATAGTTATAATATTAATCATGTGAACAGGTATTTCCAGTGCATCTGGATTTTGTTTGTTCTCATTTTGAGTTTCATTTAAATTTAAAAAGGGTGAAATATATACTTTAAAAAACACATAACATACGTAAGTTCTTATAAATCTGCATTTCTTGTACTTTTAGAACACTCTTTGTATATATAGGTCCCAGATGGCACTGTAACTATAATTTGTTTAATAAGTTTTGTTTACGACTATAAATCCAGTTGTTTCTTAGAAACTGTATTTAAAACAAGTTTCTTGACCATTAGATTACCCTAAAGTAAACAAAATAACTAAACAGATTTTCCTACAAAGAAGGTCTCATTATGCTGTGACAATTACTGCATAAACTGTAAAATTCCTAGAACTGGGAAGAGTGAGGATTATTCTGTATGAACATTAGATGGGCAATACTGCCAGTCAGAGCATCATCTGTTTGTATGTATTATGTGCATACACATTCACGTTGCTCAGCTTCTATAAAGAAATAAATTTCTGAACTAAATCAGTCAACAATTTTCTAAAGTGTGATATTTTTCGATTTGTTGGTTTTAGAAACCAAAAATAATCTGTCAGGGCCTCAAGTTGCATTTCCTAAATCCTGCACAGATACAAACCACTAAAACTTCCTAAATCTGAATGCCTCTCTTAAAAACTCTACTTGCTACTCTGCATCTATGTCACGTATGTTTTCCTTCTTCAGAAAACTTCATGTTTGTGTCAATGAATTCCTTGAAACACAGATGGGTGTCCAAGTAACTCAGGAATTCTGTGGAAGGCTGAAGAGATGCTGGCACAGGCCAGCCCACAGCCCCCTTCTGTCACAGGGCATAGATCCCACAGACTGACTTCAGTTTTTTACTTTTCCAAAGCCTCTCTGAGAATCTGTGTGAACCTATGTATCTACAAAACTGCCAGCTTTTAATAATGGAATTTCCAAGTGTCTGGAGTTACAGGCTCACATCAGCACAAGGCCTTTATGCCAGACTGATGGAGCAAAACAACTGCAAATTTTTATTTACTGTCTCTTAACCCAGAGGAAAGTCTCAGCTGGCATATAATGACTGATAAATTGCATTAAGAAGTAATATCCAAACACACTGGCACAATAAATATAAAAATGATGACATTTGGGTTCACTCTGTGACCTGATCACTTAAAACTGTGGGTTCGCTTTGCCCAGTTACTAATAACCAAGTATCATCACTAGACATATTTTATATGATCTGTGAATTAACAAATTTATTCATGCAGTAACTCTTACTCAACTGCAGGTGTTGCTGAGAACGAGAAACAAACCAGATGTAGCCTAGAACCACCTGCAGCTATCACAATGCTTATTTAGCAGTTAAACTGATATGTCTCTTTAAAGCCAAATGGAATGAAAACACAGTGTTTACATCAACTCTCCACCACAAAACTTAATGGAATGTGACACATTGCTAGCACTGCGTTACCATAGAGACACATAAAAATCCCTACAAAGGGCAGAGTGAAACCCACACCTGGCAGTGTTTCAGACCTGGTGAGATGATGATCTTTAGTGGAATAAGCACCATTGTAACTGTAGCTGCTCCACAGTGCTGGCAGATCCATTTGCACACTCTGAGAGAATATTAAGACATTTAGCAAGAGGGCAGGGGGCATCATTCACCAGCAGCTTAGCATGAGCTATTTCCCCTAGGTACTCATACTCTCAGCTCTTGCTGGAGCCTCGTCTTAGGGTAAGTCAGATTTAAGAATGGATCTTGAACAACACCAGTTCAAGATCCAAAAGCTGCAGGTCAACCTCCGCTCTGGGCTACAAGCTCAATGTAGATTTTCTAAAAGGGACACTAGTTAGTATATTTTCATTCTCTTCTGCTCCTCCCAGATCCTAGCTTTGTTACGCTTTTGGGCTAGGTAGAACTTGATGTAGAACTTAATAATTTAAACAGACTAGGAAGAATTTCTCATCCTGCTCACAGATTAAATTTTTTTTGTGACCTTGGACGGGGCTGCCCAGCACTGTGACGTCTGTTCCTTCCCTAAGCTGCTGCTCACGTGGGCAGGGAACAGATGCAGAGCGGGACCATTTCACAGACAGGGCAGGGCACGGATGGTTAATCATCCTGGTTATCTGACTGCTTGCAATGCAAAGCAGGATGGATTTGCAAAAGGTAAAGCGCTGACTAAAGCTAAATACTAACGTCTTCTTAAATATAAAAACAGTTGAATAAAATGGGCTCATGGACCTGCTTAATAGTTCGAAGTTAGTTCCGTTTCTTGATTATTTAGAAAGGTACAAGGAAGTACACATAACTGATGATTTTATATGTTTTTTGGATCAACATCCACACAGTAGTGCAGATACGCAACTTCTACCTTAGATATTTCTGTTATTCTCAGATTATCTGACATGACAGGCACATCTACACCTCAGACCTAACTTTCAAATAACTTCATCTTGTATGACTATTTCTCAACTTTTTTCAATTGCATAATGTTCCCACCAAGTCAACAACTCAGTTTATCAAGAAAATCTTGGAACAGTTATTATTTAAGGTAAACCTAAATCTTTTTTTCTTCTTTTAGCTTGTCTTTGAAAAGCTTGATTATTTTGAATTGTATTAACAGAAACACAGTTTCTACACATTGTATTGGGGGCTATTTATTTCTGAGTTTTGAGACTTTTAAGTACTTCGACATACCTGCTTCCTTTTATGACTAAATTACCAAAGGGCAACATGATTTACAAATTAAAAATTAGTAATACTGTTTTAAAATACCACCAAGGGTATGTGGAATTAATTCAATATACCTGTTTTAAGCTGTTTTAAGAACTATTGATCATTGTGAAATATAACTTCCATTAAAATTAAAAAGAAGAAATGCTATGCCTGTGAATAACCCGTCATGTTAAAGCAATTATGTTCTAGGTAAAACTGAATTAATGGTGTGGATTTGACAGTCTGAGCAGTCCTGGCCATATGCAGGCATGAAAGAGCCAAGATTCTGTCCATGTGCAATCAGTACAAATGCATATTCCCTGGATAACCTTTATTTAGTTCTGACAAGCTGAGGAGTACAAAAGCATTACTGTTTTTGTATATAACTGTGTATGGTGGGTAGGTGTATGTTCTGGAGAAGTTACTCCATCTCCAACAACCTGTGAGAAATAACTTAAAGAATAAAAATTTTCAGCTCCCCTGAAGTTGCTGAAAGACTGACTGGCAAAAAAAGATAAAAGAATGAAAAGGTATGCACACAGGATGATAAACACAGCAGGAACCTGTGGAGAAACAGATAAGGAGGCCTACAGTGGGTTTTTTGAAATTTTATACAAGAAACAACAGTGCATACACAAATAAAAACTTCAAGGAAAAGTCACCTTTATTATCAAAGCATTTGGTGAATAGAAACACCAGAGACCTCTTTTAATAAACCTCTGGAACCATAAACTTCCAGCAAGAGGTGAATGCATGCAAATTAGTTCTAGGAAAATGATATTTATAGAGTAAATAAGAAACATGTTTTAATGAATATGTATAGTTATAATGAATAAAAACTCTGTTGTAAAGTCTCACTCCAGACACAGAATAATTAAGAATCCAGTGTCCTGCGCAAGTAAAGAATGCCTGCTTTCTAAAACTTCAAATTGTCTTAGAAAGTTTATTCCAGCCAATTTCAGAATCATCTGACAAGTCCAGCATTTAGCATCTTTTAATTGTACTGCACATTTTTCTTGCAGAAATAAAGAGGTGCTGTCAGATCCGTGCGATCTCTGCCGCAGGAATTAGTTCCACAGCAACCCAGGGAGAGTGACCTGAAAAGCACGGGCTCTAGAGCAGTCGGGACTTAATTTTGGGGGAGAAAACTGAGCTCCAGCCTGCAGCTCCAAAAGCAGAGCTGACCAGCAGTGCTCCGGGGGCACATGGCCGGCACAGACTCACATCATCCCTGCTCTGGGGATGTTGTTTATGGTAACAGGGTCATTCCAGGACCAACACTGTGAACCTGGAGCGGAGCGGTTCTCGGGTAGGGAGGCCTCAAGCAGCGGCCCGGGTGTCCTGCGGTCACCGCAGTGTGCGGTACCCCGGGCCGGGGGTGGCCGGGGGTGGCCGTGGCACTGTCCCTGCCGCCGGGCCCGGCTCTCCCCTCCCCGTGCCCCGGGCAGTGCGGGCGTTCCGTGAGGGCCGCGCCGGCGCCACCGTCCCACCACACCCTGCCCGCCGCTCCGCGGGTTCCCCGTCCCGGGCCGCCGCAGCGGGATGGCGCCGGGGCCGCTGGACCTGGTGCACTTGACAACCTGGGCCGTGAGTGCCGTGATCAAGCTGCCGCAGCTGGTGGCGGTTCTGAGGGCCGGCTCGGCGTGGGGACTCAGCGTGACCAGCCTCCTCCTGGAGCTGGCCGGGTAAGGCGGCGGGGGCACACGGGGACTGCGGCGGGAGCAGCGGCTGGAGCCGCGGGTCCCCTCGGCCGGGCCGGGGGTGCGGGGCCCTGGAGCTGCTGCGGCAGCCAGGGATGAATTCCTTGCTCCGCGGCTCGGGTCAGGCGTGAGGGCGCGCTGAGGGGCGGCCGGGGGGCGGCGGGCACACCGCGCTCCCTCCTGTCACATCGCCCCGCTCGGGGCTCTGGACCAGCCCCGCCAGCTGAGCCCACAGAGCCTTTCGGGACGGAACTTCCTGTTTTAGTCATTCGCGTGGTCATTTAAAGGGAAACTCGGATTTTTTTAACTTGCCCCAAACATGCCGGACCACGCATGTCGCTGCATACAGCAGATGCAGAGTGTAAGCCTGTGTTTAGGGTATTCAGGACCCGTGTGCCCTGTGGAGCAGGTAGCTGTACTCGTCAGACAAGCTTCCTCACCTGAATCAGTAAGACTTAAATAATTCCTTAAGAAAATTACAAGCCGTGTCAAACTCCAAAGACTTGTGAGCCTGTAATGAGCTTACATGGGCTAGGCTTATTAAATCTTGCTTAAAGAGGATTGTATGAAACGACAAATAAATAAACTCGGTGCGTGCACGTCCGATGTGGATACAAGTGCGAGAAAATCCCATGAAGAGCTCTGCGCTGAGGGGTGGAGGTGGGCAGAACATCTGGATGGATGGCCACAGCGCCAAGCTAGGAAAGGGGGTTTGTTCAGAAGAATCCCCTCACAAAAGCGGCGTGGCGTTTCTGAAGTGCCTGTGCCGTGTCTCCAGGCAGGGCCACAGCTCAGGTTTACAGACAGACACCTCTCAGCGGAGCTGTGCAGAATCCGTCAGGTTGCGCTGTGGCCGCTCCCTGCCCGCCTCTCTACAGCGCTGAGCCCGTGTTGCTGCTGTTTACCCTTAACACACCTCAGAGTAAATGAAGCAAATTGGAGTTCCAGCAGAGATTACTGACACCACTGTCTCAGTCAAAAAGCGGTGACAGCACTTTAATCATTCGTGTGGGTTGGTGTGCTTTAAAAAGGCTTTGTAAGTAATGTTTGAGATGAGCATGGAGAAGCTGGAAATGTCTCCTCAGCATCTGTGTGAGAACCACGGCACCCACACAACTACAGGTTCTGGTCTTCTTTGAAACATTTGTTGTGACTGTTTGTATATTTAGTAGACTATTTATCCTTACATCTTTAAAGACTTTTAATCTACTTGCAGGGAGCTATGTGACTACCAGTACAAGCTGGGCTGGTTCTGTGAAATCAACAGAATGACCAGGCAGAGGAGTGACACAGAAACATGGTGCTGGTGGCTAGGAGTCTGATTTGACTCTATATCAAATAGCACTTCTAGGAAGTTCAGATACTTAAATTCTGAATACTGTAAAAGCCAGTTTCTTACAAGGCAGGCTGTTCCTTCTGCCATATTTCTACACCAAAAACTATAATTTTTTTCTTACATAAAACTGCCCCGAGTCTTTCTGTTTTCTGTATAGCTTTAAATTTTCTATCTAACCCAATGGACTTGCAGGAGAGTTGGAAGTACAGAAAGTTCCTTTTAGGTACTGTATTGTGGAATGGCAGGAAGGAAAATTGCCATTGTTTGGTGCACTTAGACTCTTAGTCTGACCAGTAGACCTACACTGAGTCATCTCACAACAGTCTAGACAGCTTGGAAGACATTTTCTACCCCTATAAAACTTGCTTAATGTATAAATTGAGCTACAGACATAAAGAAATCAGATTTATCCTAGAGGTGCCAAGCTCTTTCAAAGAGAATATATCTCCTAGGTCTGGAAGCCTTTATTTCTTTCTCACCAGTTCTAATTAATAAAATTATGCCTTAGAGACTGTGACATAAAGATCTCGACGACAAGTGTGGCCAGCGAGGGTAACAGAAACAGATCACAAAAGATCAGGCTTGCTCTGTGTGCATGTGTTTGTTTGATCAGTTTCACAGCAAGGGCTACACGTATCTGGAGCCTTTTGGCACCACCCAAACAGTATAAAAGTTGTGAAGGCTTTTTTGCATCCCTCTGTGCAGTCATGTTGTTTTGTATCTCTCTATCCAGCTTACTTGTGTTTCTGAGGTACCAGATCTATTATGATTACCCCCTGGAGACATACCTGGAGTATCCCATCATCATTGCACAAGGTAATTTTTGGAAGCCATGTTTTGGAAATGAAATGGGGCTCATTCAGCACTCCAAGTCTCTGCAGGAAGGTACAGTGCTCCACTGCAGCGATGCTGGAGCTGGGGGGAAGAGGTCATTAACATCTCGTATAAAACTGAATTCTTTTAAATATCATTGAAAGAGATGGTCAGGTAAAGGAGAAAGACATAATTATTACACAGAGTCACAGTGTAAACTCATCCGTTTGTCTGTGCCTCCATATGGGAGAGAAACATACTAAACACTCCAGACTCTAAGAAAAGCTTGGGTTTAGAGCTTGCAGTGTTTCGGTCATCAATGACATTTAAGAGACAAAAGCTGTCAGAAAGGAGTTTCTACAGACCTCGTGCACAGTGGAACTGTCTAGGGTTGTGTTTAGTCCCTTCAGTCCTTTCTTTGATGAACCTTCTTTTGTTTATTGCAGATGCCATTCTCCTTTACTGTATTATGCATTTCAGTGGAAAAGCAAAACGAGCTTTGTTCTATACAGTCGTGTATCCTTTGAAACTCAGGAGGTTTGGTTTATGTGGCTTGTTTGGTAGTTCTTTGCATAGCAGCTGTGTCATCATTTCTTGTGTGTTATTATTGTAACTCATTCTCAGGCACCCCTCAACATGTATTCCACATTCACACCTTGATTTCTGGGATCACAGTAAAACCTGTACAGGAAGTAAGCTTTATATGTTTGCTCTGCTTTAGAAGGCTCCCAACCGATAAAGAATAAACTAGATTCTTAATTTACATCTTTTTGACAGGGATGTAGAGTAGAAACTAAAGATTTTTTAAAATTTTTTTTTATTCCTACTCATGCAGGTTGTACTTACTACAATGAAGACAACAGTGTTTTGTTTTGTTTTTTTTCTAAATAGGACTTGGGTTTAAATCTCAAATCTTGTGCTTTGGAGCAGGTTTTGAGAAACTCCAGACACTATTTGACCAAAGACAGTGTGAAAAATAGGAACACTTAGTGTTTCAACCAGTTCTTAATATGTTTTATCTGGATTGTATAGTCTTGTTAAAATGTTTCAATAAGATTATTTCCAGATGTTTAAAAAAATCATATTCCTCAGGCAGTTTTGAGAACTTTGTGTCCTAAAATTCTCAGTGCTATAAAACTTAACATAATATAAGATTTTGGGGGGTCTGGTACATGCTAACACTGCAGAAGTGGATAATAGACCTGGCCATGGTAAGTGCTATATGATTATCTGAAATTAGATCTTCATATGAAATTACATTTTTTAATGGAAGCATTTATTAGTGGACTCTGTCCTCTATATATGTCCTTAGAAGAATTTGTCATTTAGGTTAGCTTTCAGAATAACCAACCAGTTTTCAGATACAGGCTCGCTCTTCTATGAGTAGCTGGAAAACAGCACTGAAAATAGAGACTCTATGGGAGGAATAAAAGGCATATTCTGAGATAAGTTGTTACTTGGTGGTGCCTTAATTAAAACTGGCAAGTACTTAAAATTTTGAAATTCTACTGCCACTTTATTCCTAATGTCATAATCCCAACCAATAAACCTTTAACGCAAGAGGAAAAGAGTAGAGCATCAAAATTTTTGAAACAGGGAATTGTGACATAGTTCTTTTTTCCCCTTTAGTCATACAATTTTGCAAGAAAAATGTCGTCTGATAATGCCTACAAAGGTTAAAGATGGTCTTTTCTTAGCAGGAGAGAGAAAGTAAAAATGTAATTGAGATTAACTGGATCTGCTAATGCAAGAGGTGATAGAAATGGGGAGAAAAGCTTCCAAGCCCTACTCTGATCCTTACTTGGAGCAGAAATCCATGTATGGCACAAAGCCTGTATGGAGTCCTCTACCTGCTGCCTTTGCAAAATCTCCTTTAAAAGGGGGACTGAGTGAATAGTGTATTCCTGTTACTATGTTTCCCCTCCAATTGGACTAATTTTCCACACATTCTTGTCAGTTTTTTCATTCCTTTATGGATTGGTTTGCCAGACATAATGGCAACAGATGGTCTGAATCAACCTTGCTGTTTAGACTAGGTCAGTCTCATTTTAGCTGACATCTATAAACAGTTTTATGGAGCAGGTTGAGAAGGTTTTTTTTTGTTTCTTTGCTTCTTAGTGTATTTGCCTCTTTCAAGTATTTGCCAACAACAGTAGCAACTGTGCTCTTTGAGCTTCTTGCTGGGCAGTACCTCAGAAATGAGTCCCTTGTTTCCGGCAACTTCTAGTTTTTGCTTTGCTGTTCCTTACTAAGAAGCTGAAGTGCTTGGGTTGCCAAATACTGGAAAAGTGTCAATTATTTTTTATTCTAAATGAAAAAGCTGCTCCTATTCAGATGATACCATGGCAGAAGCAGAGGTTCTCTCTCTTTTTCATCTGCTTTTCAGAATCTGTGCACGCTCGTCAGTGCAGCCAGTAAGCTGGTTCAGCTGCAGCACCTCTGGCAGACCAAAGATTCCGGACAAGCGAGTGCCCTGACCTGGGGCATGGGTGCATACACCTGTGCAAGTAAGCTACAGACAACTTGGTGTGAACTACTGAGTTCTCTTGATTCCTCTTTTCATAGCTCTTTACTCCATCAGAGTAGGTAAAGATCCTGCCTTAGTTTCCCTCAGTCTCAGTGCTGATGCCTGGGACTCAGATATGACACGGTCTCTTGAAAACAAGTTTTATTTTTGACACCAACGCTAAAAACCAATGACTTAAAGTGTGAATATGGCCAAGGGAACCTGAGTTAAAATAACTGAAAGAGTATCTTTATGAGGAAAATTTTTCAGTGTTCTATGATTTAATAAAGTTACTAGTGATCCAGCATGAAAAGGTGCTAAAATTTCAAGTATGCAATCAGACAATGCTAATTTTGTAAAGCTGTCCGCAAATAAATACACACTTAATGCTAAATACCTTTAGCTCTATGGCTACTTGTAATTAACATTTCTTGACAGAATTTATGAACAGTCATTTGTGGAGTTCCTGTGGCAATTACCCAGTGGTCTGCACGAACAGTTCTACAGCTGTTTGTCAGAAGTGCCTTTCTCATCTTCACAAAACATGTTTAAAATATTCTCGCTATAAAACTCATCATCCAGTGATGCTGGATCTGTTTCGACATGAAAAAAGCCAGTAATTAGAAGTTGTGGTGTGTTTGGTGAACAATGACAGTGAACTTTGTAAATGTTTTTACTCTGCTGCAAGTGTGAAATAATTAACATTTAGGCTCCTTGTGGGAGGGAGGCTGCGTTCTTTGTATTTGCAAAGCCTGAATGCACACAGGTGAACATTCCCAATGGTTAAGTCATGATAACTCAGCTGTGGGTGTAGCTCACTGTCAGCTACCAAAGGAAGGGCTGAACAGAAAGAAAAGCAGTAAACTGACTACATCCAATCTAACGTGATAGATATAAAAATTCTAATTATATCTGTGATTTTCTCATTAAAAAAGACCTTTAACGCATTGTCAGTCAGCTTTGAGAGCTTGATCTCTGAAGCCAAAATAGTGAAGAGTGGACACACTAAAAGTGGGAATGTGTACAGTGTATATTTTTCCAAGCAGGACTATGTTCTGTTGAAAAATAAATATCTCATAATTTTTTTAAAGTATAAATGTGTCCAATGTGTTCCACTAATCAGAATTCATTCAATTTACAGCAAGAATTATTACAACTGTAATGACTACGAATGATCTCGCAGGTGAGTGAAGTATGGAATTCTCTGCCTTTCCAAGGGAATAGCTGCCATGGTAATTTTTAGTTGTTTTGTAAAACACCCAGAAGGTCTCACAAGAACAAACCATGAATGTGATAGGTTAGCATGGTGAGGGCAGGAGTTACACAGGATTACAAATCAGGCAAAGACATCAAGGAAAAAAAAGCCAGAAAACTGCTTACACTTGTCATGTGATGCAACTGAGCCAACAGATTTTTTTTTTTCAAAAGGCGAAAGCTCTACAAAATTAATTATGAAAATAGAAGAATAAAGTATTAAAAATATTTAATATTTTAATAAATAAATGTAGTAAAATGCAACTTAAAAAAACCTGTAGTAATTGAATGAAATTTTCAAATAACCAATATTTCACTTTCTTATTGACAGCTTTGTGAATTAAAAAGTTCTTCTAGAAAACTAAAGTTCAGCTTAGTATGTCAACAGTTTAAGGTCCAACATTCAGAAAGTTTATGGCAGGCTGAAAATGTTAGGCTGGTAAGAAACTCAAAAAAACTGATTTTAAATATGTAATTTGCAGCAAATTATTAAGAAAATTTATTTAACAGCTTCCTATCATCCTGAGGAAACTGCAGGAACTAGGGAGTCTCACAGATTTTTCAGTAAATTGTTCAAAATCAAGACTTGGTGGATGCAAGAACAGTAACTATCCCTTTGTACTTCATCTGGTGGTTCCTTGTTCTCGTTCAAAACTATTTCGTCAGAAACATAATTTGAATGGACTTTGTAATTTTTAAGCAGCCTCTGCAGCCCAATAAAACTGTAGCTTTGCAAGCATTCCAAGTGGGTCTTTCACTGGGAAAGGAAGTCCCATTTTTGGCCCACATTTTCACCCTAATGCTTGCAGCTTTTTCTTTGCCAAAGTAAGGAGTTTGTGGGGCTGTGCAGTTAACTGGGTCACCAAAGATTTGGCAAAATGCTTGTGCAGGGATTTAGTCAGGGTCAGGTACTGAGTCCATGTCACCCACAGCTACACATTTACACCGAGGGGAGAGACAGATTCATTGTGGGGAGGGAGGAAACACCAGGAAAACAAAGCTGGCACTGGGTAAAGCTGCTGCTTAAAATACAGCACTATCCACTTCGGAACATGGAAGGGGCAGCAGCAAACATTGATGCTGTGCTGCTCTAGTGGAAAGTGTTTCCAGTTAAGTTGCAACACTGAACACATCCACACCTATGAAACAGTCAGATATCACATAGTTCTGAAACAAAGTATTGTGTACGTTTCTGTGAATATTCCACCTACCAAATGGACATCAGACATACATATACTTTAAATACCTTCTCACAGGTAGAGGTACTATGCTGTTATGGTTTCTAAAGCTGAGATAACCCAGGTACTGAAAAACTGATTTTTTTTGTCAGTTGTCAGATTATCTGTCACTATCTGACAGATACCAGTATTTTCTGTCTTCTTGAAGTCTAAACTTAAGAGATGGCAGTAGAGAGTAGTTCCTTTATTATAAATAATGTATGCAGCTATAAAGAACATGTGAGCTGTGACTCTGAATTTAACTTCTGCTGTAAATATAAATTTATATGAGTCTTCTCATGCTTGTAATATTCTCCTGATTACAAAAGAATTAAAGGTAGTGTAGTGTATTATTTTGAGCTATCTCTGAAAGTGATCAAGTGCTAAATGCTGTTTTCTCTTGGATTCATGCTCAGAATGTGTGGGTTCCTCAACATGGTAATTGAAACGAATTGGCTGAAAACAGTTTCAGAACATGAACCAGCCTGTCTATACACCAGCAAAAGTTTACAAATCAGTGTTGTAACAGCAGTTGATTTTTTTGAATTATGCTTACAAAATTTTTTTCCCTTTTAGTTCTCATCCGTTTCATAACCATGCTCATTCTCAATATTTGGGTCACAGCCACAATCCTGCACTACAGGAAGACTAAAAAGACTGATTAGAAGACACTCATCAGCACACATACCATTACCATGAAAAAAATTCAATTAAGCCTAAAGAATTTAAGAATTCCTTAAAGACTGAGGAAGCTCTCTTTCTCTAGTATTTACCCTTTAGCATACTTATAGTATTTACAGACTTACAGTATAGCACATTCATGCTTACTTTATTTTAGAAATAATTCTGATAAGATACTTAATTTAAGCAGCAAATTTTTATTGGTCATTTCAGACAAGTTTCACTGATATCACATTTTCTCTGGATGTTCTTTACTACAATGTATTTCATAATTAGGTGTATATATATTCTGGTGTCACTTCAGTACTTTCTGGTTACATATAAGCAATGTTCTTCAGTTATACATGATCAGTTTTGCACCAACACACTGACTCATCCTTCTGCTGCAAGACTGAAAAACCACAACAAATGTTTGTCTTCTTGCAAGCAAGTCAATTAGTTCAACATTAACTGTCTGTATTTTAGGATGAAGAAAATCTGAGTCAAGGCCCAATCCAGAATAAGGTTCTAAATGTCTTTTACTAAATCACAAATCCAGTTGGGATTGTAGCACTTACATGCAACACTTAAATAGTACAATTTATACAGCTGATACAGGATACCCATAGTCACTTTCTTCAGTATACCCAGCTTTTATCAGACAAGAGCAAAAAGAGCAAAAACTCAACTATGAATTCTTTTTCAACCTGAGCTCTCATTCACTGAACATACTGTTTTGGGAACAGCAGAGACTAGAATATATGGGAATAATGAAACTGTGACCAACAGTTAAAAATGCTGTTCAAGCAGTAGTTCCTGGAACAATATCCAGGATTCCATACTGACAGTGACATGTGCACCTTGATGCATCTCAGCAGACTGATCTCCCATGGTTGTCAAGTTTTGGTGATACTGCTCTGTGGTTCATGAGTTTTTGGCCTGTCAGTGCTGTGTGTTGAAGAACAGAGACTTCACTTTTACTTCAGAAATTCGAATTAATTTGTAGTACTTCAAGTAAAAAGGGGGAAAGGATAGTCTCGACAACTATTAACAGAGGATTTTGGAAGTACTGCCTTCACAACCAAAAGTTACATTAGTAATCATATAGCTTGCCTTCATTTCTCATTACATTCCCCAAAATTAAAAGACACATTTCAGAAGAGTTCTTCTTACAGTATTCTGTTGATTGGCATGTAAAAACCAAGGCACCCTTGAAAACTATGGGAAGACTGCACTGACTACATTTGAGGCAGGTTTTCTTCACAACATTCTAAATTGTGTAACTGCTGTGGAGCAAAGGGATCTGCAAAAGCAGATGTTTCTGCCAGCGAGCATGCAGAAATTGGAGCAGGGCCTTCACCATCAGAAAACAGCTGCTTCGTTCTCTAAATTTTAGTGGGAAGGGGGCAGGGAAGAGATGTGTCTTTGGGCACTGATTTCATGTATCCCACATTAATGCAAGCAATTCAAAGATGACCTTTTTTTATTGCTTCAATAAAATGTATAAATCTATCTATGTTGGTTGAAAGATTAATTGTAAACCTTCTGATTTTACTAAAGCTGTGTAAAGTATCTGAAGTGGTCTAAATGGTGGCAGGAGGCATGTGATACATTTTCCAGGTGATATTAATAAATGTTCTTCTTCAATATTGATAGTGTCATTCTTACAGTTAATTTTCATTGCATTTGAGTTTTATTGTTTCCATATATGGAGAGAAAATGAAATATTCATTACAGGTCATAAATGGGCAGCTTTCACCTTAACACTTGAAGCATCAGGCTCAATATTGACCTATTGACCTGCCAATGCTAAAGAGCTCCAGCATCTTAATATTAAAAAAAAAAACCACTTGCTTTTTAATTAAAGCTTTTTCTTGATAGAGAAAGATTTGTATGGAATCCAAACCCTCTCTGTTATTGACGTCTTTCATACGCCTGAGTGATGCTGTAGCAAAGTGAAGCTGCTCCATTTTTAGTTTGAGAATCAGCATCTCAAGTTGGTTTTTTACCATAAAATACTGAAAATGCATTTAAGAACAGTTCTTAATAGGTTACTTAACACATTTTGAATAATTCACCTTAGAAATCTGTGGGAAAAAAGGACTGAGGAAAACAAAGCCAGTTAATTCATGAAATGAAGGTAAAGTAATTTTGTGGACTTGGAAAGCTGGACCATGAGTTCACATTCAAGCTGCAAGAGATATGGAACAAATAGCAGTAAATAGTAGCAGTAAATAGTTTTACACACTTTTTCCCCTCTCAGAGAGTAACTTCTTTCACTTTCATAAACAGAGGCACATTCAAGTTCCAGGCAAACCCCATGAAAGCACAGACCCTGTGTTTTCCTGTAGGTAAAGAATAATCTTCTCAGTGGCTGGATTAAAGGCTACAGCTTTAGACAAATACATAGGCAGGATAAATCTTGTTAAACTTGTCATTCACCAGTATCGGGGCAGACACAAGGAGGCTGTTTGCTGTGTAATGCAGCAGCGGGGCAAGAGCAAGCAGGGAAAGCATTTTGGATTTATGGCAGAAGGTGTAAGCCAGTAAGCAGCTCTTATCCACAGGGCTGGAAGTAATCCAACTCCATTCACAGATGTTGTATGAGTGTGGAATTACACACTTGGTGTCTAATTGTACCAGTTCACAACATGCTCACAAGGTAACACAGCCTGTCCTGCCCTGGCTGACAAAGCATGGGTCTTGTCAGGGCTTTCTGAGTCTCCTTGTCTGTGAAAAGACAAGATCTGAATTCCAGTACAGCCCACTGAATAAGCTAGAAGCTCACTTCAGCTGTGAGAGAGAAAACATTTACCACGAGATTTACTATGGAAAGAATGAGGATGTGAGTCCAGAGACAGCTGGCTGCAGGTCTGACAATAAGGATGTAGACAGTGGAAGGAAGATTTGTATAGTTTATTTTTTCTGGACTGTCTACAGTGAACAGAACATTGAACACAAATACAAAACCATCCTCTCCCCACCCTATGGGCCTCCCTACACTGGGCATGCTGTGCAAAGTGGACACAGATGTCTTTCCTTGTGCTGCTCCAATCCAGCAAGGGATGCTATTGCTTGCACTGCTCTGGAGTCCCTGTCCCTGCCTGACCCCTGAGCCTCTGTCTGCCTTACACTGTGCACGTGGCTGCTCCCCATCCTGGCTCTGCTCATCTGATCCACTGAAACAGAAGAGAAAGGAGTGGGCTGGGGAGGCAGCAACACCCCCAACCACTGCAGATCTAGAGTTGGATTTTAGTGCAGTTTGACTCTGGGGAAAGTAATTCAGAATTAGCTGAATTCTTACAGAACACTTTCACTCACTTCTTTAAATGAGGTAACCTCAATCCTCCACCAATTCTCCACCAATCAATCATTCTCCATTTAGTGACACATGTAATAGAGAGAAAATAAGAAAAGGAAATATCAGCTGAGTCCACACAAGGAACTATTATATATGAAAAGCTCCACAGATGTGGAGATAATTGAAATGAGGTAGTTTCCCAGCCATGTATTTTCCCTGATGATAAATAATAATGATTTCCCTCCAAATTCTCTTCAGACTGGTTTTTCCACTCTCTTCTAGATTCTTCCATTCTTGAAATTCATATTTATGTATGAAGCAGAACATGAAATATCACCTTTATCACTAATAATGGTCTAAGGATGTCTCACTTTTGAAGGTGAAAGGAGGAAGCTGAAAAAAATTCTTAAAATAGGATGTTATAGAGTTCTTGGTTTGCACTGACTTTAATTTGCTTGATTTTGAGCCAGAGTTCTCCAGGACACTTCAGAGTTCTTGGTGATGACAGCTGTTGAAGTCAAACAGGTGCCTGGGAGCCACAGTGAATGTCACTGTAAGAATGTGACAGATCATCACTTGTGATGGATCCAATTACAAGACCTTGCCAGCCTCACAGACCTGAGTCCTGATGGACCTCAGGTGTTTTCTGCCTAATGGCAAGACAGACATACAGACATTTTCAAGTTAAAGGTGTCAGCTATTCCATTCTACATTGGCAGAAATTTGGGACAACCGTATCTATCTTGGAAAACAATCCAATCTTTGGGCTAGGGGTAAAATAAGAGACTTTTTACATTATTATTATGATAAAATTTAATTTGCAATACCCGAAGAACAGTTTAAATAATTGTCACAATTTTGTTCATATCCTGTTTTGTTCCATTATTTCATTTAGAACTGTCTTAAATTGTCAGAAGCCTAAATAGGTATTTCTGTGCATTATGTGGTATCACTGACTCACAGGAAGGGAGCTTTAAGAGGGCAGACACCTTGTTTTATCTGTCAAGTATTCTGGAAAATGTTGTAAAGGACAGAACCTGCACCAGCCCAAAATGTTAAGTTGGCTAATGATGATTCTGACTCAAACTGAGTAGTAATATGGCACCATGCTGAAAATACTTACCACCTTATTGTAATTGCAAGTTATCTGTGCATATGCCTGCTCTGGAATGTACAAGACTTCTGCTTTGGAATGTGAAGGCTTTGGCCAGCAGTACCAAGACTCGTACTATATGAAAATCATAAATGGAAAAACACACATCCTATGCCTCACTGTTGCCTCTGTCATATAAATCATGACTCTTAACAAAGCATGAATTGAGCTTTTGTAAAGTATATTTTAAATAATTACTGGAGAGAAACTCCTTCACCTTCGAACAGCTGACTATATACAGATCCTGTATATAGAGTGGTCTGACTTTCGAGTCTGACTTGTGAGATTTTAATTTTTTTTCCATGAAATGCGCTGTCACCACAACTTACAGTCTTCATGGACTCTCTGAACTCAAGGTATTTTCCTCTCTCGGCCTTGTTTTTTTTTAAGTTTGCACAAATGCCCACCTTCCAGTAATACAACTCTCATTGCTGTAGCTCGGAACAGAGCAGGCAAGGGAGCCTCCCCCCACGGCTCCTTATTGGACTAAAGAATACACAGATCCTTCTGGATCTCAGTGGCCCCCAGGATACAGGGACTGTAACGTGTTGGAAAACATCATGCAGACATGAGACCATGGGATCCAGCAAGCAGATTCAAGTCCTGAAACTGCAGCCAGACCTGCACCCAGCTGCAGGACCTGCTCCAAGAGCCTACTGGAAAATGGAGCAGCTGAGGTCAGAGACAGTGCAAGGTGAGCCAATATGAAATAGGGGTACCACCTACCTGGTGGGGTACCCAGCTCCTTCAGTCTTAAAAAGATTAAGGGGTTAAGTATCTCAGGTAACTACAAAAGAAGTTTCTACGAGCTCACTTGTTAATAAAAAGTAGCACATATTGAAGGCCAAAGTCCAAAGTCTAAGCAGTTGGTGATCCAAAGGAAAAGAGGACTGGCCGTGACCTCACAAGCTGGAGTACTTCTCACTGGAAAGCCATGCTGACCAAGTGGTGCAAGAGTGTCCTGGGCAAAAAACCACCACAAACAGTAATGACAAATGACAAAAACAACATGACGTGAGGCCCACAGGGACAATATAAGACTATGCACAGAAGCAGGCATGCATCTCTGAAAAAACTGAACACCTAGACCTTAAAATGAGGTGGTAGGACTGAAGCATCCCATGCAGTTGTCTTGGCTGAAAGCATTTCTGTGCAGCTCTTCCAACGAATAAGGGCTGCAGGGACATGACATTACTGGATTCTCTGCCCTTTCTTTTCAGGGTGATGATATGTCTTTCCAGAGTTCTTTAAGGCATCATGACTACATACACTTACAACTGAAATTTCACCATGACTTTCATTTTGAAAGATCACTTTAATCTTGCAGCTTCAGATTCTTACAGATTATTGAAGCAAAAGCAGCTGCAGTCAAATCCCAGGCTGTACCCTTGCAATATGATTAGTAATGTGGCTTTCTTACCTTTATAAAACACTTGCTTCCTGCTTAAAAAGTGAAAAAGATTCCAAACCCCGATTTTCATTAATAAGACCTGGTAATTAGCATCCCTGTGCCAATACGTTATTTTCTCTACATTCCCACTTCTTGCTGCTGTGTTTCTACAGCTACAGCTACATTGATTGCAGTAGTTTCTGGGGAGACCTAGGCTGGATGTGTTTTGAGTGTTCTCTGCCACACACATTTCAGTACACTTCTCTAATTTCTCAGATGAGAATGTCTGAGTAATATATACTGGTCCACTTTTTAGGCAACTTCAACATGGAACACAAATTGTAGATTCAGAACCAATCTATCAACATCTTTTATGGAGATTCAAAAGAAGACTCCTTCCCACTCTCATGAAGGATACTTCAAAGCAGCAAGCAAACCCTATGATCCTTGGGATTCTGATAGAATCCTGAATTATTCACAAGATCATGTTAAAAAATAAGAAATAATGTTTTCAATTTAAAGTGTACTATGTGCAGACATGATCATTTGTAATAAAATGTAATGCACTGAAAAAGGCACCAAGCCTGTCAGAGGTCAAGGAGTGTCTAGATCATGTTTTTAGTCATATGGTTTAGTTTTAGGTAGCTCTGTGAGGAGCAGAGAGTTGGACTTGATGAACTTTACAGGTCCCTTCCAACTTGATATATTCTATGATTACATGAAAAAATAAATTAATCATTATTTTAACATGAATGTCAAGGCTAACTATCCAGGAATGTGGAGGAGACTGAAATACTCCAGTTCACTCAACTGGACATTGTACTGTTTGTTCTTCTGCCTCAAAAACAGAATAAGGAGGTGATTAAGGGTTTATAAGAGCAATGCAGGTAAGAAATTTGCTTTCATATAAGCTCCCCCTTTTCACAGCAGCATCCCAAATACAACTTCACAAGGACATGGGTAAAGGATGGGTAAAGGCACTAGGGACCAAAATATACAATTCTCTTGCAAGGATGATTCTCTCAAAGCTAGATGGGAAACTAATACATTGTAGTAAGATTACAAACAGAAATGCTCAAATTTTTAATGATCACCGACATTAGAAACTAAAAAGAAACTAAAGAGAAAAATCACCTAATTTCAGTGGCAGCTTTCCTGGCCTTGCTGCCTTCAGAGAGCCACTGAATGCCTGTCAAAATTTAGGAGGTTCAGTGTTTTCAAGAGGCAATAAGAGATTTAGCTACTTGCAATGAAATTTCAGCGATGTTTTAGATTTGGCATCTGTCACTGCTAAGATCCTTGAGCTTCTTGCATGTTCCCAACTCCTACATCCTACTATGATTCTATGTCATGTTTTTGGTTACAGCATCAGCTGTGCTCAGAAGCACAAGAACCACCATAGTTTTCCTCTACTTAAAAGCAGATGTGGTGCTGGATTGTGGGCAGTGCTGGGAGGGGCTGCACTTTGGCAGGGACCACAAGAGGCAGGGAATTGCAGCACACAACTAGGAACAGAAGTGGAAATCTCATTGTAGAAAGGCCTTTCTGAGACCTGACAAGGTAATTCTGATGGGGTTTGCCTGTCCTTCTGTGCTGGTGAGCTCTTGGATTGGGAACTAAGGAGCAACTTCCCTACAAGTGCCTTGAGCTTCTGCCTCCAAGTTGGACTCCTGATTTTTCCAGAAGATTAATATGCAGCTTGACTATGCCACTTGTTTACTCTTGTGAGACAAAAGGACTTGCAATGAGAAAATTTTCTATATGTAAGTCATTCAGGCCATGAAAACGTCCTGTTTGCTTAGGGCAAGTCTTTAACAAAAAGAAAGTGCTAAAACATCAGTGACTTAAAGGACAAATGCTCCTTAGTTCATTAATATGCCCTTCTCTCAAAAATATTACAAGGTACCATTAGACAATAAGGGAACAACACAATCTCCAGGAACTAGCATTGAAGAGGTGTTTGCATTTCACAGCAGGATGAGGGAGAAGAACAGAAGAGCAGCTCTGCCTTTTGTGTCCTTGGTGCAAAGCGAGGTTCATGCACCTCAGACCACTGGCTTGAGGAACCTGTGCTAAGTCAGCTCTGCTCTGAGGCGGAGGTCAGAACACAGGACCCCCAGTGCTCCTCTCAGCCCACATTGCTCCACGACACCATCTCAGTACAGCCTGCTGCATGTACAGCTAATGACCATTTGTACAAGCGTGGGATTTATAAACTGTGGCTAGCAAATACTATAACATAGTACATTTCCTAAAATGTCAGGCTTAGCAGGGCCCCATGGGTTCACAGTAGATGAGGGCAAGCCAGGGAGAGAAAGTGCAAAGGATGCAGCGGCAGCAGTGGAGGAGCTGCCAAAGCTCCCCTGGAGTCTGCGCTTCCTCTGCACAGGATTTGTGGGGCTGCCTTTGGAGCAGCCCTTGCCTTTCCCATATCTGCTGCAGTAGTTATCTTTATATTTAAATATTTCAATTAATTACCAGCTTCTCAAGTTCAGGAACTATTTTACCTTACTCAAATAGTTTATTTAAAAATATATATATATATAATATTCTCCAATTCAGAAAAGGATAGAACTTCCCACAATGTAACATTTTTTTATATATATATATAAAATATTTATGCATTCAGTGAATGGAAACAGTTTTACTGTATACATTTTTAATGTTGTACTCTATGCAAATCTGCATTATCTAAAAATATACCGTACTTCTGTAAATCAAAACAAGCAGGGAAAAACCACTGAAGCTGTGCTCTGGGTTATAATATCTAACAGAAATGATATGAAAGTTTTAGCATTGAATTTAAGAACTCACAACAATATTTTACTTTGTGAGCCCATAAATAGAAGACTGAATACATTCTTGTTTTGTTAAGCTGAACTGTAGTAGAGGTTACAAAACGTAAATATATTTATTAATTTTCAGTATTTCAGTGTTTCCAAGTCCACCTTTCATGATAGTGTTAAATAAAACATGGTCCTATCCTTCCAAACATTTCAACACTCTTTAAAAAACAGAAACAAACAAACAAAATTTTAAAGTGAAATGTCCTCCTTCATTGAAGTGTTAGATCATATTTTAAATTACTGCACTCCCACACAATATTTTATATATATATATATTCTAAATATATATATATATTTATATATATATATAAAGAGACCAAATAGGAGACTACATTTTTTACTGTCAATATGTTTAACATCACATACTGTAGTTGTATAAAACATGCATTTTCTGGGATAATTATGAACACATCATGAATGAGCCCACATAAATTATTTTTTTTGTACAACTCCAAGTTTAAAAAAAAGTCAGATTAAGTGCCTCTGAGGCCCTTTCTTCCCAGCTATCAGTTCTCAAAACACAATACTGAAATATTTATCTATGCCTACAGCTATGTGCTAGAGAACCAGGTTACAACTTTAAAATACATCTACAGTATGTTTTACTTTTCTTAAAGTTTGTGACAGTCCTTGGATATTGTGTTGTGAAATGTAAAAATAGTCACAGATTCTTTTATTTTCCAGAAATAAAAAAAAAAACCCACATCTAGGAGAGTATGCAAAAACAAGGCAAAATGAAGTTTCATAGCACTTAATGAGGGTTAATATAAGTCAATAACTAGCATTGAGGTTTGTAAAAAGGGCTGGATGAGCAGTCACATGTACAAGCAAATGGTCTGGTAAATCCCATGCTCTCAGACATTATTTCTGTAACCAACACTTCTCCACCCTTAAAACCAGTCGATATACATTCAAAATAGGCTGAAACTGATAAACTTACTAGGTGTAAAAATAGTGCACTATTTTTTCTGCCACAAAGCAAAACTGCATCCTAAGAGCTGGTAAACTTTCTTTTTCCTTAAATAGAAAGAACGGGCAAAAAAAAACTTGAAAAAAATTAAATTAAGGCAATTAGGTAAAAGGGGACTGCCCATGATGACGTAGCTGAAACTAGTATATACTTCAAACCTATACTAGCTGCTGAACACTGACATGCAGCTTCTGATATAAACTTCAACATTATGGCTTTATACAAGTGCATAGTTGCAACTGCAATAAGTAACGGTATCTGATTAATAAGCATAAAAAAATAAAGTGGAAAGATTTTTAAAACCCTCTTGCAGTATTACAGTACAATATATATACACAGTATAATGGTCACTTCTTACAGATGCAGTCTATATCACTATGGTTGATCTTCCTCTGGTTCTACTTGCAGACGTGCTGGTGGCATCTTTACCAAAGCTGAAAAGTCAGTTTCTTCCATTTCTCATTCCTCTCGATCCTTTTATGAAATGTAGTGTATGTGTCTTGCCAAGAAAGCTTTTGTGGAACAGAGTTTAAAAGGTTACTTAACATATCCTTTGAGTATTTACCAACCATTCCTTAACTGATCAGTCACTCGGGAGAATACAGGAAAACCCTCAGAGATTAGTAATTTATATTGCAGCAAAAATGTAAACCTCTGATATATATAGCACAATCTCTCAGGAAAATATATATTTTTAATATATTTTGGGATATGTTTCAGTCTTGCTGTAACAGGAAGAAAATTATCACCTTGACTGTGTCTGCATTCACGGAAAGCAGTTAGCTGAAAAAGAAGCAGGAAGTTTGGTCAGTAAATGCCACAAATGTAAATCTGACAAAAACATACTTCTTCAAAGTCTTCATTTAAGATGGGTTCATCATTGTACTTGTGAGAAGCGCCTTTCCTCTGCATCCAACAGCAACGTTACTTCAGTACAGCACATCCTTACACACTGTAATCCCCAATCAATTAAAACCCCTTACAATACATGAGAGTAAAGTACAATATGCAGTGTAAGAGTTACTTCTAAAGGATTAGTGATCAGTAAGCTTTTAATACGCAAAGATGCAGTATATTTAATTATGCTCGTTACTGTGAACACTAAACCAGTTAAGTTCTGCAGGAGCAGTTCCAGTTCCCTGAGCACAGAGCTGAGGAGCAGCCCAGTGCCACTGTTATACAGCTGAGACACACCTTGCATACTGTTTAAAACAATTCTTAGGCATTTAACATTTAGGTTTTTTCTGTGTAAATCTAAGATTGCATCAATGTGTGATATGATCAGATACTGAGGTCTATAAAATAGGTAAAGCTCTTTGCAGTACATCCAGAATTAAGCCATGGGACAATTCAGGTCACTGCAACAGCCAGATCTTTCTAAAGCAGTCAAGGAAACCACATCACAGAAGCTGCAAACCCATTTGTTTACATAGTTTGCAAATGCGTGGTTAGGTACCCAGAAAGCACAGCACTGCAAAGGAAAGGCAAGTCAAATTCACTTCAGAAAAGAGGTAGAAAAGCAAAATGCAGAATTCCAGTGACTTCATGTCTGCTAGCCATAGACCAGTCAGTTTATATTCAAAGCTTAAAAATGAAAAGTGTTTGTAAATACCAAGCCTATTTCAGCTAAACATCCAACTGCTACCATCTCCCTTTTATCCTTCAAATAACCTCTTGCTGAGGTTGGCAGTATTAGCATTAGAGATGCTAATCTAATTAGAGCAATGACCCTAAAAACGGCAGGTTTGGGGTTTTTTTTCAGGCAGGCAGACATGAATTTTGAAAAAAAAAGGATCTAAGATTAGAAAAGTAAAAACACTGACCAAGGCAACAACATTGTTTTAATGAAAATGACTCCTCTAAAAGATCAATATGATGAACAGAATCTCATTTTTCTGTTTAAAATATTAAAATGAGATCTTGTATTTTCTCTGCTTTGAGAAACAAAATCCAACATAGCATGCTGTATTCAAAAGCAAACAAATCCATTCCTATCTATTTAGATTTACCCCTTATACTTCTTCAGAAATCAAAAACATCGTCATCATCATCATCACCATCAATATCATCAACATCATCAAAGGACCAATCCCAGTCCTTAAATGCCAGATCAAGTAATCTGCAACAGGAGGGTTTGATGTTTAATGAGTGTCACACTTCTATAAAACATTTGAAAATTCCTTTTCCTATCACTAAACCTTTTTAAAGACTGTTTAAGGTAGGTGGGTTTGTTCCTTTGCCTATCATGAGTATGAAGATTCAGTTACTGTTCATGTAAGTTAAGAATATTGAATTCATTGCAAATTCATCTCAAAAATAATTCTATTCAATATAGATCACTTACCATATTGATTTTTTCCCCTAGAATTTCAGTGGGCAAGACCAACATGTACCTTCTATAAAATTATCTGCTTTCTGTTATGTTGCTGTTCTTGTTGACTGAGGTGGTTTTACGCCCTCCCTCTATTCCCTTCCAGACAATAATGCAAACCTAACAATTTTTCCAATAAAATCAAGTGATTTTGATTGCTGAAAAGAGCACTGAATAAGATAGCTTCATTTGAATGTACAAATGAACAGAGCAGGATTTTACTGTATCCCAAATACAGGGTGATTACACTATACAGCTATTCTGTAGCTCATTATTTAAAGTTAAGCAATGCCAAAAAAGAGGATATATCAACTTGTTGTCTAGGTCTCCCTGTCTGTGCTCCTTCTATGGTCACTATAGAACAAAGAAGGCACACAAGGCAAACCCTGTCAGCAAATGAGTCATTTTACTTATCTGAGGCATTTATTTTGGGATGGGGTGAATCATTGTCTAGAAGCACTCATCTCTTTCTGTTGTAATATCTTAAGTACTAACTTTTGAGCTGCTACAGCTACAACAAATGATGTAGCCTAGTCATCTCTCCAGTGAGCTGGAAGGATCCTAATTAGGGTTGTATGCCAAGCATAGGATGCAGGCATGGAAACCTTACCCTAAGAGAGCATCAATATAAACATGTTACATTGTTTAATACAGTTAGTTGCATGTCTTCAACAAAATGGGTTTCAGGGGAATTTGGATTTTCAGGCTTTAAACTATTTAAACCTTTAAATGTGATACAGCCCTGAAGTGGCTCAATGTTCATTTTTTACATGAACTATGGCTACTACACTTAAACAATTTATAAGGAAGTAAAATACATTTAAGTTAGCTTTTTTTTCAATTCGGAATTATCCATTTGGCACGATCGAACCAAATAACTAAGCAGAAATTATGTGGTCTCTATGAAAAATTGGTTTTCCCTTTCTTAAATCCTCATAAAGAGAACAGCCATAAAAACCTTGAAGAAACCATCACTGTGTGAAATTCCTAGCAGGGACAACATTTTTAGGACCAGGCAGCTTGAAAGGGACCTCAGGAGGTTTCTAGCCCAATCTCCAGTTCAAAGCAGGGTCAGATGCAAAGCCAGCCCAGGATGCTCAAGGTGTCCTGTCAGGTGCTGAGAGCCTCCAAGGATGGAGCCTGTCCAGCCTCCCTTTCTGCATTGGCTTTTCCTTCTATCCAGCTGGAGTGCCTCCTGGTTCAGGCGAGCCCCTTGTTTCTCAGCCTGCCACCATGCAGCACTGACAAGCCTGGCTCTGTCTCTTGGATACCCTCCCCACAGGCTGGGGCAGCTGCTCTGGGAGCCCCTGGACGTGTTCATCATCCAGGTTGAACAAGGCCAGCTCCCTCAGGTGTCTGCTCTGACCATCCTGCTGGCCTCTTTGTCCCTCCCCAGTGTGCTCATGTCTGGCTGGAATGTGGGGACTCAAAGGTGGAGGCAGTGTTGTGCTGCCACAGTGTTGACTGTGGAGTGAGCAGAGGGGTATAATCTCTCCCCTCAGTCATCCAGCTGTGCTCCTCTTGTCCTCAGCAGTCCCAGAGCCTGCCTGGCTGCCAGGGCTCACTGCTCAGTCCCTAGACTGAACTGGCAACTGCATCTTCACTCTTAATAAAGTTCATAAAGGAAAATTAATCATTTCACGTGGTAAACCCTTGCATAAAAGCCTCATAGAAGCAACACTGAGATAAATTTGCCATAGCAATTTTTATAGCAATAGTTATCTATGAGTATGTGGTTTCTACTTAAAGGTCTTTAAATCCATACAAATTTCCACTGGTTTGACAGACCTGCATTAGTCAGGTAATAGGTGACATGACCTCACAGAACAACACTTTTCATCTGTTAGGCATATTTGCACGGCTAACTTGGAAACTTAAACTGAAAAATTACATGCTTTACACACAAAACTATTCATCTTCCTCCTTTTCCCACCAGTATAGAATGGTAAATACTGTGCTATGAAAGCCTTTTGTACAAAAGTTCAAGACTGAAAAAGGGGTATTGGAAGGAGAAGAATTATTTTCAGGACACCTAAGAATACCTATTGAAAAAAATCAGAATTTATAATATACCTTTATATGTTAACAGCAAGAAACAGAGTAACACCATTAAGTTAGACTGTAAACAGTATGCAGAAGAAAAGTAATCTACTTGTCCCCCAAACTGTCATGAATGTTTCCCTGATTCATGCTTCCATCCTGTCACTGATATTTTGGTTGGTTTTGCACAAAGAAACTCTCTCTTAAATATGTAAATGAAATTGCCAAAAATTAGACTATATGAAGGTTGGGAGGGAAGTGAAATTAAATTACTCTAGTCCTTTTACTATGCCTTTCCACCCATTAAAATACCAGTATCTGTGTAAGATCTAACTCTTCATAGCATAAGGATGTTTTGTGGTAACAGCAGCATCACAGCAAGAGTGTGCTTCCCTGCATTCCCCCCTGCAACTCTGGCCAGTCAGCCAGCTGAGATACTGGTGTCAGTCTGGTCACAGAAAAAAGGACAACAATCCTGTCTAGGCACTGCCCAATTACCTCTCTGGGGAAAAAATGTTAAGCCTTTGCTGAACTGGAATACTGCAATGAACAAAGTAAGTCAGACCAACCTTTTCACAGGCTGCCAGCACTGGGAACTGACAGAAGCAAATATAATCTAGTACTGCAGGTGATGAAAAAAAGCAAACTGGAAAAAAACCCAGAAACTCTGCACTGTGCAATCATATAAATGCTACCTGCAGAATGCTATCAACTTCCACAGCACAGCTCATAGGATTCTGCTCCTTAGAAGTGATCCAGTAGTAAATTACCGATTATTGTATGGACAATTTTTACCAAATCAGAAGAACCTGATAAGACTATTCTTTTAGGAATCACGAGACATTAGCATGAGTCCTACCCTGTATAAGGAATTGAAACCAACTGTAGTAAAACATTTAGAACAATAAATTAAATAGCAGCTCTTGTGTCACCTTGGTTTGTTTGGAGGAAGCTGTCGACTTGGTCGTCTCATGGATTGGTTTGGCTGTACCTTCATGGAAGTTCTGGGAGAAGATCGAGCAAAGGGGTCTGGTGCTGGAGGCTTCTTGGGTATTTTTTTCACCAGTCGGCTCACCCATTTTTGCTGTTCTTCCGTAGAATTAGCTAACAGTAGTAGATTCTTCGCCGTAGAAATATCATAGTACACTGTAATAAGATTTAAAAAATGAAAATTTATATTGTTATTATTCTAAACACAGACACACATCAAAAATTAGCTGTCTGATTAGCATACGCTCATACTCAACACGGAGAAATCAGCAGAGAGGTCAAAAGCAAAATGAACCAGTAGGTTCCCTTGCTGCAGACAGTGCCTTCTCCTTATATTTATAGAGTAACAACTTAGTACTGTGGAAGATACACATTCACATGGAATAAGACACAGATAACACAAAGAGGAGTGACTGAGACTAAGAAATTATATAACATTGAATCACAAGGAGCAACTTTCACCAAATGTAACCCCTTCCATAGTACTGTTGTCTCCCACAGAGAAGAGCACAAGACACAGTGTGAGCACCTTACAACCACCACGTTCTGCTGCCCAAGGACAGCAACACAACAGGTACGTGCACACCACAGCCATGTGCCATGAACTCAAAGCAGAGTGACCCTCATGGAGACACCCTCGGAAAAGGGCTCATGGCCATGTACTAATAAAAGACAAGGCAACCTTTATGTTTAGTTGGTGTCACACCATTACCAGAATCCTCTGATCTATAAGAATGCCTTGTGAATCCAGCACTATCTGCATATTCAAATACTTGCTATTTACCTTTGCAAGGTGCTATAATCTCTTCTTTTTTATCCATGTGATCTTTGTGACATTTGATATGGCAGCGACGACATTCCAGAGCAGGAGGAGGTTTAAACATGTGCCACAGTGGCTTCATACAAGCTTCACAATTGGTTGGGAAGTGGTAAAGAGTAGGTATAAACTCATGTCCTTTGTGACAAATGTAATTTGACTTCTCTCCCATGGGCTCCACAGGAAATTCCTGCTCCTTTTTGCTCTCTCCTTCATTAGCATATAGGATCTAGAATGAAAGCAAAATAATCTCAGTACTCCTAGATGACAAATATAAACTCAGAGTCATTGTCTAAAATTGAAGAAGTACACTAGGAACGATTTTTCCAAGGTGTTTTAGTAAATATTTCATTAGACAATGTTTTTGACAATGTCTGAAATGTCTGTTACACTAGAAACATTAATTTATTAATGAATACCTGGAATATCCTAGGAATTTCCTTGGAATCTGCTCTGTACACATCAGTCTGAGTGACTGGTCGCACATGGAAGAGTTTGCTATAGGAAATTGTTTCAATAAGGACAAAAATTAATGTTACCACAATGATAAATGAGACAGATTAACTTAGGATACAACATATCACATTAAGACTTAGAGCCATTAAGTATTTGTCAAATTTGTACATATTTCTAATCACTTGGCAAAGCCCTGTCTTTCAATCCTGCACATGAACTCCCAAAAACCCTAAATGAAAAGAAGTCACAAAGCTGTATTTGCAGAAGCACTGGGAAACCATCATCATATGACTTTAATGGCCGCTGGCACCTTTCTATCACCATCCTGTCCCCATGCTCTGAATAGCCACATTCTGCATTTATTAAGAAAATCAATTAACTATATAACCCACCTGTAAGGCAACGTTGTAAAAAAAAATACACAAATACTGAAAATTATATCTGCTCTGCCACAGTTTTCTTTACATGCTTTGCTCCCAAGTGTGTGTGAGGAAGGTCTAGCTGAGCTAGTTCAGGGGGCAGTTCAGTTACACCAGGGCTCAGTGCAGCCCCCTGGTTCAGCCTGAGCACCACACTGCTCCTCCTGCATCAATGCCTACAGCAAACCCCACTCTTCAGCACTGTGGGTACCCAAGGGTCCAGCTCTACAGCTCAGATTTTAAAAAAATCATGTCCCCAAGTGATGATGTGCTCCCAGACTGGACCTCAAAAGGCCCTTTGGTCACAGGTCTTTCCAACAGCGTTCATCTACAGATCAGAAGAAGGAATCACACATGGCAATACTTACTCTATATCCAATACCATATGGGGATTAGATTGCTCTTTGTCTTGTTCGCTGTCATAGAACAGGATCTTCTTGCTGCTTACAATTACATACTGTTAGGAGACAAAAGGATAAAACATGTTTTAATCCAGCTCATCACAGATGTCAAATATGTCACAGAAATTATATGCTACAAAAATATGCTACAACATATGTTGTAGCAATATTTTTCTACAATTTGATTAAATGGTATCTAAATGGACAATAGTAGTACTGTATACTAAATCCATGCCAAGGAATTAATTGCATAACAAACAAAATTCTGATTACTTGATAAATCAGGTTATATTATCAGATTAACTGATTTTTAAACATATTTAAATATTGATGAAGAAACAAAAATTAAAGTCTGGAAGAAAGTAGGACAGAAGCTTTTCCTTTCTATTTCATTGATTTAATTTTCACTTGGACAGCTAGAGAGAGTAACTGTCATCCTCTGCCTATTTCATGTGTGCAGATCACAACTAATAGGGATCATACTTTAAAAGATCACTATTATACTTACCAGAATAGCTAGCAATGTTCACTAAAAAGATAATTACCTAAAAAATGTCCTACTTCCAGAATTTTTCCTAGAATTAACTGTATGACAGCAGTAAGGAAATTTGTATGTTACATTTTGGACAAAGACTCCTCAAAGAGGCTACTGAGAAGCAGGAAACAAATGAAGGCTGCACAAGGCAGAAGAAGTAGCTTTTAGTCTTATTTCCTAATTAAAGAAATTGTCAAAAGCACCTGTTTCTAGACTCTGTCTAATTCCAGCTATGAAATACTGCTGGGAATGCTTATGGCATGTATAAACATTTGAAGATCATGAATGACTGTTCTCACCTCTGGCTATACAAAGAAGTGTCTTAAGCTATTGCAATTGTCTTAAACTTCTCCTCTCAGATGTAGCTATACCAGCCAACACATTTTACACATTTAAGTAATGAGACAACACATACCAAATCAAAACTGAATTGTTGAAAACCTACAGCAAGTTTAAAGTTGAGACAATGCATAAAACAAACACGTAAATCTGGTTTTCTTACCTTTTTAACCCATCCAAATTTTTTAGTGTTATTTCTAACAGGCATTGATAGCCAGCCTTCCAGTCTTGATTCTGAAAAAGAGATATGCATTAAAGAACAGACAAAACATTATTTTTGAAACTACTGTCCATTTTAAAAGTTATTGAACGTCAATAACAAAGCAAGAGAGCAAACATGAGAAGATGAACTATTTAACAGTTCGAGATCTTGCGAAGTTTACCATGGTAAATGTTCAGGAATATATTAAATAATTTACCCCTGAGTACAGCCAATAACCAGCAATGCAATCACAAAGTAGTAGAGGAGGAGGGGGAAGAACAAACTTGCAATTATAGCACACACATTCCCTTTAGTAATTTTTTTCAAGTCTTAAAAGCCTTATGTCTATTGACCTTGCTTTTTTTTTTTTACGATAGCACCTAAAGACATTAGTACAGACCACACAACATCAAATCCAAGACCAAAAAAAAGGCAAATTACCACCACAAATACCTACATACCCTATATGCTGGGGAAAATGTCAGTTTAGTATTCAAAGTCATACTCTTTGGTCTGTAAATTTTTCTTTTCTCTAATTCTGCCTGTATCTCCCAGACTTTCTAATGCAAAATAAGTAATTTTTGGCTAACCCTTAGGCCTTGCCTGAGTTCAACTGCCCTTTCACACACTTGCAGTATTTTATATTACACTGGCACATTTGTCAGATTTGATTTATCAAGTGTATTGGAAGCTCAGCTGTTGTTTGACACACACATTTCAATGCTGTTGGTGACCTATTTTAATACACATATCAAGTACATGAAACAGTTCTGTCACATGTGTTTTGCCTCATACCTGCCACCTTGTATCATTCCTTTCAACTACACCTTATAGAAAGTGTAGCAAACATAATGTTGATGTAAAAAATAGTCTATCCCATGTCCAGGAAGCACATGTAGGGCAAAAATATATGTATGTTTATCCTTTTCCTAAAATAATGATTTTCCTATTTTTCTCTGTAATCTGTAATACAGTTTCAATTAGACAAAATAAGAGCTTCTCATTAGACTTCTTCACTTCTGGTGTCCGTTCAATACTAACAGATCAGAAAAAGGGCAGAATATTCCAAACTTCTCACAATACATGCTTATAAACACTAAGAGGGAGAAACAACAGAAGACACTATCCTACCTCAAATCTTTTGTAATTATGTCAGAAAAAAATCCCAGATTAGCTATGATTTTTACTTTAGAACAAAGCAAATCCATGCACACACCACAACAGGAGGTAAAAAGGAAAAAAATACATATGTATGTAGGTTTTCTTTCATTAGAAGCTTCAAAGCAGAAACCAGAGAATGAGGAAAATAGAGGAAATGCATTATTCTTTACTCTAGTTTGATGAAGTAATGTCAAAATACCAAAAGAGGTTCTACCTTCAGTGGTAAGGTATTCATACTTTAAAGGAACCTCATGAGAAATACAGAAATTTGAATGCAATAAGGAACCCACCTCTAACATTAACTCTAAACAGAAGCTTTGTGAAAAGAGTGTATATGTAGTCATACAAGATGAATATAGAATTAGTAAAACAGGGCCTTATCACTCATAATATACCCTTAAGGCAAAACAATGTAATACTCAGAACAATTAATAGCTACAAGAAAATTATGTACGTTTAACTATGAGGAGTGAGATGTTTCCACACTTCACTTAAACACAAAGATTTGACTTTTTGCTATCCAGTACCTTAGGGTCATACAGAGAACTGCAGACACTGTGTAGAGGCTATCTTGAAAACAAGCCATAAGGCTCATTTATTCAATGCCTCAATAAAAATGGTGGGTTTATAACTGTCAGCAAGCATTTGCAAACATTTAGAGAAAACAGGCCAGTTATTTGTTCATGCAAACCTTCTCATGTCTTTGATGGCAATGTTTACTGCCACTGCAGCATGCTACCTGCCAGATTTGGTTTATGTTTCTTTAATTATGTATTAATAGTGTTAGTTCTGAACCAGAGAAAATGACACAGAAGAACAAAACCAAACGGTTCTCAGGGATGTCACCTGTGCTATCAACTTCTGTAGGGCTGTGGGAACAAGACAAAGGTTCTTCCTCTGAGTCAGAATCGGAATCAAGAAGCATGCGAGAACTGGAAGGCTTAGTGGCAATACTGACAGAGGTAGAAGAGTGCTGATAGGTAAAGGACATGGATTCCATAGTGTGGGATTGAGTGATATGGACTGAACATAAAGCATAAAGGAGGAAAAGTAGAAAAGAAGTCAAAATAGAATCTCTAAGAGAGTATTAGTTTTACATTTCATCACATACACACAGTAATTGCAAAGTAACTGCCAAAATAAAGTGAAAAATATTTAGTTCTAATGGAGCACAACAGAGTTTAAAAAAAATCTTTAAATAAATGAAAGGTAAAGTATTACAACAGACAGATTTAGTTAGCAGGTGAACAAGTAATCACTATCAAAGGATCGATAAGATGGTAGAAATAGATGAAGATGAAAATCACACAATCATCAGAACATCAATTTAATAGTCCAGTTTCTGTGGAAAAACACGGGTATAAACCCAGTTAATGCAGAAATATTAATAAAATTAATATACCAGGGAATCCATCATCTGCCTCAGCCTCTCCAGGTCCACTGCCTATGCTACTGTTGTCCAGCCCAATGTGCAGTGACTGCAGCTGGGAACGAAGCTGTTCAATGTCACTGTCTTTGCTGTCCAGAGTCATCTGCAGTTCAATCCGTATCTGACTCTCTTCTGCTATTTGCTGCGGGGATAAATTGCAAGATTTCCTGTTATCACAATGTTTGGTTACTCAGAGAAAATAATGCAGAATTTGTATCCAATCTCAATATAAAATATGTGTATTTCTTTCGGTTGGGGAAATTCAATAAAAAGACTGGATACAGTACCTTAAAGTCTGTATTCTACAGAATATAGACTGCAATGTTTATATTTACAAAAGGATCTTACTGCCTGCATTTCATTTATTTCCTTCTGATACTTGATCATCATCTGGGTTAACTTTTCTCGTTCAGACTTCAGTTCCATATGCAGCTTCCTATTTTCCTTTTCCTTCCGCCGTACATCAGTGTCAGCTCCACGTTTGACTGGACCCTTCCGATTCATGATTTCAGCCAATTTATTCACAGCCTTCCCATGGGAAAGAAAAAAGTGACAAAAACCACACTAATAAATACCCATAGTTATGTTGTGAAGAAATAAAGTCTTCTCTCGATCTATAACCAGGCACTTCTAACTATAAACTAAGACCTCTGCAATCCAGTACTACAAACTTTAAGCTTGCTTTAATTCAACAAATTACACAAAATATAAAAGGTAATGATGCCATTTTTACTTAAAGCAAGCATTAGCTGTGTGAGCACTTTCACTCATTTAAATAATCCCTTCCATTTTCACCAGCTAGACACAAAATACGTCTTTGTATTAAAATGCCACTTGTTCTAAAAAACAATCTAGACTAAAATCAGAAATGTACTTCTTTATAGAACTTGTAGAGGCATATAAATCAAGACTGAAACCAGTAACATATCAAATCATTTGACAGAAAGGAAGGCTTTTTCTAGTGGAATACATCTGGATTAGAAGTTCCTCTATTACAAATCATAAGGATCCAGTTTCACTACACTGAAAGTCTACTTAGAAGAAGGAAGAATAAAATCAATATATTTTCTTTCAGAGCAAAAACAAAGAAAACTTTATCAGTACATATCAATAGTTTATAAGGGAAAGTATTCTATTAAAAATTATTTGATACATGAACACAGTGTCTACATGCATTTGAATATATTTGCTTACCTGGGTTTTTAATGTTCTTTCATTCAACAACTGTTTCTCAAATTGTGCTTTAATATTTCCTACATTTGCTTCTTCTTCTTTTAGTTTTGTAATTTCTGTAGCAAGGTAATAAAAAGAAAATCTATGAAAACTCATTACAAATGAATACAGTACTATTAAAGAAGAAACCAAGTTTCAATTTAAATCACATTTGGTTCACAGATTACATACGTTCTTGTGCTTCCTTCAGTTTATTGTTTAGTTCTTCTTTCTCATTAGCAAGGTTAGCCACATCACTAGTTAGTGTCCTATTTGCTTCCTCCAACTAAAAAAAAAAAAAAAAGACACGTGACCATGTAACAAAACTCATTTGGCAAATGAAGGGTTACAGGACAGAAGGAAATGCTGCAGAGTGAGGGCAGGATAAGGATAAGAGGACTTGTTGTAAGAGGGACAGGGGCACAGAAGAAAGAATGGTCAGAGAAATGCATGGAAAAAACAAGATAAGAAAATACTGAATTTCAATCATAAAAAATAAATATTTTTAAAATGTTAGGTATACTTGTGTATCTCTGAATCTGCTAAAGAGCAATAGATAACTCAAACTGCAAACAAAGCTCATGTACAACCTCTACCAAAATTACAGATGATGTAACTCACCGAGGCTATGGTAGCATCTTTCTCAGTAAGCTCCTGTTTATGCCTCGCCATCATCTCTTTAATCTCCAGCTCTTTCATAATCTTCTCTTTTTCCAAATCAGAGTACTGTTCTTCAGCAATGGAACGGGCAAGTTGTTCTGAATCTGCTTTTGTCAAAGTAATCTCTAGCTGAGCAGCCAAGGAATCTCTGCAAATTATTGATATATACTTTAAAATGGATAGATTAGAGAGGGGAGGAAAGAAAACAACAAAAAGCCATCCTGATCTTTTATGTATTAGTAGTCCAACTAGCAAAACCTACCTCTCATCCTGTAACTCTTGTATTTTTTGCTGCATTTCTTTACAAATTTTGGTCTTTTCCTCACATTCTTCTTTAAGTTCTCGAACTTGTGTCTTATAGAGAGTCTAGAATTTAAAGTTGGAAAGAAAATTATGTGATTTCTATACTCTATACTCTTGAAGGTCCAAAAAAATTATACAAGTTGACATGATATGCAGTTCCTTAATCACACTAATTGGAGTATAATTGTGCAATGCCTTCTCTAAACTTGTCTAAATGTCATCATCATTCATAAATGTGCTTTGGTTATTTTACTTTGTTGTTATTCCTTTTTTAACTTGTATATTTGTGAATGGGTAGATGTATGATATACATTTTCTATGTTTGTATACATACGTTAAAGATGCTCTAAATGTGAAAATCACTACTTTGTACAAATTCAGAAGTATCGGAAGCAGAGAAAATAATTAATTTCTTTTTCTTTACTATTCAAGATCTTTGTCTGATGTAATTAGGCATGTGGAGTTTAGATTCTAATCACACAAATCCATGAAACCAACATGACAGTTAAAGAACAAAAAGAAAAAACAGGAAAAAGAGAAAAACCACTAGAAAATAATTTGAAATTCAAAATTTCATGGAATCAATGAAAATATAGAATTCTGAAGAAAATGAAAGAAGCATTATATTGCTCTGTCCATTCAAATGACTGACTAAAGGTCAAGTGACAGAACACTCTGAGTGTACTTACTGCAGGGATTTCAAGACAGATTGTCTCTCTCTGGCCCACCTACAGCAGTCAACTGACCTTAATTCTTCCTTTCTTTCCTTTGATGTGTGTAGCATTTTCAACTATAAAACTTTAGGTAGGTCTTCTCCTCACTGACCTAAATCCACAAGGAAATCTTAATTTTCCAATAATAGTGAAAGAAAACAAGCCTTTTGGCATCTCCTGCAGTGCGACTGGCTGTGCACTGTTAATAAAAATTAATGTCCACATGCCAGTGATGATTTTTAAGTATGCTGCCTATTTATTCTGGTGCGCCTAACCACAATAAATGAAAAATAGATCACTACCAAGTTTGGTCGTAATGCAAAATTTCCTTCTGAGCCGTAGATGCACATGTTTTGTCACATCACATGAGAATGCAACTCTACCATATAGTATGGAAGAGATGCTGAATGCAAAAGGCTTGAAACATGCAGATTATTCACACTGTGGAAAAATAAGCTGCTTGACTCCTCCCTCTGAACTTCCCTACAGAGCTGGGACATTTCTCAACATAAACTCTTTTGTGTTGCTCAGTGATCAAGATCAAGGCAGCAGACAACATTGGAGACAGGCACAAGAAAAGCAAGTAGCTTTGGTTTAGAGATGTGAAATATCTGATGGCTGAGGGGGAAGAAGAAAAACTAACATACTCAGTAAACAGATTAATATAAAAATAAAGCAGCATAAAACATACTGAGAAATATTGTTCAGCTTCAAGCTGGTCTTGAAGCTCTTTCATTTGTCCATCTGCATCTTGACGTTCCCTAGAAAGGAAGAACATGCTTTAGAGATGAAGATATTCCAAAGCAGTAAACAGAAAAGACAGCATTCACACTCTTGAGATCTCCAGCAATTTCTTGAACTAAGTATCATCAGCTATTAAATCTGAAGCTTCCCCTGGCTACCAGCTCTCTTTTTCACTTGTATAGCTGAGAATACTGCGCTAATAACAAGTCAGTTTAATACTGCTAACACACTAACTACAACAGTGTCCCAAAGTTTAACCAGTAAGAGGCATTGATAAACACCACCAACAGAATCTTATTTCTATGTAAAATGTCACTGATCTCACTGGTTGTTTTGGGTCTTTTGTTTGAGAGAGTGTGAATGTCTGTTTTCCTTGACATGCATATTTTCTTGAATTCATCTGTTATTTAAACAACAGTCAGTTCGGACTGACAGACAACAGAAATGTAACAGAAAAGACTTCTACCAGTGTTTCACATTATGGCCACCTTTTACATGACTAACTGCATCTTGCTGACAGAAAGGCAAAGCACAGGGAGACAAGACATCCGAAGTCATAAGTGATCTAGGATTGATACATGTGGAAATCTTGTGTTTGCATTCACAAGAAAGTTCTTTAAGTAAAAAAAAAAAAAAATAATGTTTTCTTTCCTTACTTACTATCAGGTGCAAATACTACTTGTAAGACCTTGAAGAACTACTGACACTCCTATCCAAAGTCCAACGGATGTGTTTAAAGATCTCTAGTACTAGATATTTTCAATGGTTACACTTGGTAACTCTATAGCAGTCAGTATTCATTTCCAACTCTGATAAATTCTCCTAGACTAGTAATTCCAGTAACTTTCCTCTTCACTGAAGTTCTACATCATTAAAAAAAAGTACCTAGACCTTTAGTTAAATAAGTGTTTCTTTGAAGTTTTCAGACTCATATTTAAGCTGTGTTTTCTAAGATTTTCAGAATAACATACATCTTTTAATACAAACCTATACATTGTTGAATCACTAGGGTAAGTCTCAATTAGTCACTGTAAATTATTTTAAAGAACAATTAAGTTTTGTACTGTAGAATAGCATATTTTTTGTGGTAATTTTTAAAATTAATTTTTTCTCAACTTTTGTTCCAAAAATATTTCAAATCAGTAACATGACTAAAACATATAGAACAACTTGCATACTTGCGGAGTTCATTGTTCTGTTTTTCCAGACTTAATTTAATTTCCTGAAGGTGGTTATTCTCCTGTTTTAACTGCTTCTCTGACATTTTCAAGGTGTTGACCTGCTGTGTTTGCATCTTGAGGTCATTTTGAGTGAGACAGCGCTTTTGTGTTTCTTGCTCTATTTTTAATGTCAAGTTTTTTACCTGAAAAAGAAGCAGAAACACAGGAAAACAACATTCAAACAGTCTCTAATTGACTTCCTTTACATCTTTTGGTAAATCAAAGCTGTTTCCTGAATAAAAGCATTAGCACACATTAAATTACCTAATTTTTTCCATGTCAATCTCACAGCCTTTACTGCTATAGAAGACAAAGCTTTTAACATAAATATTGCTGAAATGTTTCAGAACAATGACACCACATTTCATGAAATAGACTTTTTAAAGTTTCAAAGGCAGAGAAGAAAAAGTTTGTTACCATTTTCATTCACAAATATTCCTAAATACAGCTATAACAGGAAAAGTACTAGGACACTGAAAATAAGGTTTGATTCAAGACTCATTTTGTCAGTGTTTCTTACATCTTCACTTAGTATATCCTTTTGCCGAAGGAGCTCGTTTATTTTCTGTTGTGATTGTTTGAGATCACAGTCCAACATGGAGCGCTGCTTCTCAGCTTCCAACAGCCGATTTTCTACTTTCTGCTTTAAAGCTCTCTCTTCCAAAAGTTTCTTTTCCATTTCTGTGAAGTAAAAGATAATACATCAGTGAAGTGCAAACCAGCAGATTTTGGAGGCCAAAGGGAAGAGGATGTCTACCCTGTACTAACAATAAGCCACATGTTTCTCCTTTTAAAACTGAAGAGAAGGACTACATAAAAGTGATTAATCAAAATTTTCACAGTAGATACACACCCAGAGGATGCTTCTTCAAGCATTTCTGACAGAGCTATTTCCTACTTTTGAGCTTCTAGGTAACTTCCAGTTTAATCTGCAACACCTCTGAGATGAACAAAACAGGTAGAATTTTAAAACGAAAACATTTAAATCTACTGTGCTCTGACTGTGATAATATAAAATTAGAGAGCTGAAGCTGTTTGGGAACCTGATATGCCAAGTGACTCAGGCATTATTACTGAATCACTGCCACTTCCTTTTGAAGATCTGCATGCTCAAAATCTTTGTGAATGCTCTGCAATTGGAAGGACAAGATCTGTAGGTAGCTTTTTAATTAGATGCAATATACATAAGCCATTTAATTCAAAAGTAAGAGCCATCTTCTGGATTTTTTTGGTAATTATACTTCTCTTCAAGATATTTCAGTTGCCATGACACGAACCAGAAAGATTGCACAGTGAAAGATTGCATTATCCACTTTGCATAATTCACACTTAAGTCCAACTGTGACATCAAAACACATACCTTTCATGGCTTCAGATTTTGCTTCCTCTATAGACTCATAGATCTTATTTTTGTCTGCTAATCGTGCTTTTGTGGCTTTATGTTCAGCTTCTTCTTGTTCAAGGTTCTGCTGCATAACTTTAAATTTATATGTCATATCTATTTCCATGTTGCTCTTTTCCTGTTAAAGAAAAAATAACATTGAAACAAAATATTAAATACATCAGGTTAGCAGCAGAATTTTGAACAACAGTAACATTGGAAGGATGCTTGGAGTAGAAGAGAGAGCTCATGCTAAGGAACTAACTGAGAACTCATTTCCATAAATGTTTTTTTGTGAATGCCAAAGTTCTCTAAAAATGTACAATGACATCCCCAGTTGCAAACAATTACAGAATTACTGCCTTAACAACCAATATTCTGTAGTAAGAGCAGCTCAAAGATTAAGTTTATTGAAGAAATTTTTCAAGCCTTTTATTTCAGTAAAAAATTTATTTAAAAAAAATCCTATTAGCAGAGGCTCTTTTATTTTTGGCAATAATGAGAGTTTAGAAAAACTCCATACATGAAATGAAATTAGCTACTGTACTGTTAGGGTACACACCGGAGTACATAATTAGGTACTTAAGTACTTTAGAAGTAAAAGGTATCATGACTGTATGGGAAATTATGTCTTTTTTCCCCACTTCTCAAATTAGGGAAAAAAAAATTAAAAAGGCTGAAAACAAGGCTTATTTTTTGTATAGGTTTGGTTGTCTCAAGTAATAAAAGTACAAGTTCAAAAATTTCATAAGACTGTAACACCAGGGTTCATTTAGCAGTGCTGTCACCTTTTCTAAATCTGTGAGCTTTTCCTGCAATTGTCTTTTCTCCATTTCCAGTTTGGCTAGTGCACTCTTTCCATTTTTCACTTCTTCTTCGAGGCTAGATATTCGACCTAAAAAGTACCAAAATATCAATGAGGCTGGTTAGTGTGTGAAAACAAGACTGTATTTTATCTATTTAGAGATAACATTTTTGAAATGCAACCGCTTCTAATTCTGACTATTAAGAATGTCTCCTTTGGGGTGATTCTGAAAGTTACCAATGTTTTATAGATGTAACCACACTTTTTTTTTTTAAATGCTGTTCACAATTATGCAATGTTTTATAAAACACTTATCCAGTCACAGTCTGAGACTCAAATAACACCATGCTAACTAGAAACAAGAAGCAATGTTAACTTCAGAAGATTTTCCAGAAATACCTTGTAAATCACTGATAATTTCTGATCCATGACTTCGATCTCTCCTTTCTGATTCTAGAGCTGACTGAAGATTGAGATACTCCTTCTCCAGTTTGAGTTTTGCATTCTCTAGCAGGCAGTTCTTATCTTGTAGTTCTCTGTTATTAATTTCCAGCTGCTGGATTTGTTTTGTGCTTTCTGTCTGGTTCTTCCTTAACCTGGCTGCAGTATCAGACTCTGACCGCAGCAATGAATTGGCTTCATCCAACTAAGATTGATAAAAACATACTTCAGAAACAATTAAAATATAAACCTCACTATTTCTACTACAGAATACTAGGTTTTATGGATTAAAGAAGTAAGGATTATATTTTCAGATTACTTTTGAACACCAAAACTTAACGAGAAAGAATAGCTTTTAAAACCCAATTACACATTTCAAATTCCTCCACTGTTAACAAAATCTGTACTTCAAGCAGTGATTATTTTAAAATATATGTGTATAAAGTTGGCATACCTGTCTTTGTAGTTGGTTGATTTTTTCATTGGATATTTGAGAGTTCTGATTCCTCTTTTTTAAATCTTCAAGTTGGTCTTTCAAACTGTTAACTGCAACAAAAACAATTCAACATTGTTAATCACTGTCAAGAAAATGCTTCAACTGGAACTATAATTCATTTATTTTAAGTATTAAAAACCCACATCAAAATGGAACCTTCAAGCATAGTTCAACATACCCTCATTTTCCAAATTGCGTTTCTTATCTGCTTCATGTTCTGCTTTCCTCTGGTATTCTGTATTCTTATGCTGCAGAAGAGCCTTCTCTCTCTCTAACTGCCTGACTGCAGACTCTACATTCTTCCTTGAAGTTATCTGGATATATTTAAAAAAATACACCAGTAATTACACACATAGTAGTGGTATTCTTATACGATAAAAACACAGCTCATGCACTCAGTTTAGTCGGTAATGGAGGCAGCCAGTCTATCTGCCTGCTGCAAATGCAACGTATCAGAACACGTGGTCAAATCCAGCCCAGGATGTCTATGGCCAGGAGCTTGGCAATTTAAATACTGTTTGATCATCTGGATTTGACAAACCTGGCAGACCTGCCTAAGCAGTCACTCTGGAAGCAGAGAAACATACATGTAAAGGTAAGGTCTTGACATGCACCTGCATGAGCCATACATTAAATTGTACACAGCCACATCCAAATTTGTAGAAGCAGTAAGGTGCAAAGCTGGGAAGAAACAGGGTCCTTTTACTAACACCAAACAATGCAAAGCATTCCTCCTCATTACTCTCACACTTTCCATTTTTAAAATCTGTATGGGATATTTGTGTCATGCTGTCTGCTAACTTAAAAATATGATAAAAAACTAATTCTGGAAAGAAATGTGCAGTCACAGTACAGAAATCATAATGAAAATATTTCAGTGCTGACAACAATTTCATGCTTGTGAATACCAAGAAATCAACTGTTGTTATTTGCTATAAAATATACTGCTACTCAAAAGCAATTTGCTGTTATCAAAGGAAAAACCAAGCACAAATGTTAAAACTATGAAATCTGTGGCCTTACCTCTTCATCGAGCTCTTTTGCTATCTTCTCTAAACGAACACTTGTAGACCTGAATAAATTTGAAAAATAATTTTAAACCCTGCTGATATGGAAATGAAATACAAAAATTAGAATGTTTGGATGTAATTTTATGTAAGGTGCTTTTGTCTCATTAATTTTATGCAAGATATTCTGTTTTCAGCAATAACATGAAACCTCAAGGACTGGTGGAATCACTAAACAGTTAGATTCTTATAGGGAGTTCAAGCAAAAAAAAACTCAACAAACCCTCCAAAAACTCCCCAGAAGTCAGAGGAGTAGCAAGAATTAAGCCAGCAACTTCCAGTGAGGCCTGCTTGCAGGGTTGGGAATCCCCAAAGTGGATTAAAATGCTTTTAAGCATTCAAAAACAAAAGGTCCAATAAAACATCTTTATAAACATACCAAACATGTTGAAACATTCTCACCTGTACTTCTGTTCTAGTTCATCTTTGGCTTGTAATTCATTACTGAGCTGTTCTTCTAGCTTGCTTAGTTTTTTCTGAAACTGTGTAAAATGTCAAAAAAGCATGGCCCACATATAAAAATGCTTTAACAGAAAACAAATGCAATTCAATTAAATAACAAAATAAGGGAAAGTGAGGAAAATTAATTGAATCTTCCAGTATATTATTTTAAAACCATCACTAGAAGGTTACATCTTTATAAGGTATTAATTCTGATAATTTGAAATATATGGATTTATAGCAACAAAATTTGCTGCATGCTGAATTAAATTGAACCATCACAGAATTATGTGCCACAGATTGTGAGTCATTAAATTTATATGGGCAAAAAACATTGTTACCGGCCCTTTGCTGTGCTCTGTAGCCAGAGACTTTCCACTGGAGCAGATGTTTTTGGATAGCATTTTCTAAATGAAATGGAAAAATAAAAAAGGGGTGTACATGACCAAATTGGACAATATTCAGATAATATGGCTAAATATGTTCAGTGATGTCATATAAAGAAGAATTTCTTAGTCTTACACCTTGGAAGCTAATGAACACTTTGGAAATGCTTTGGTTTGCTTACTAAAATATTTTTAAAAAATAATTGTGAGTCCAATACCCAAATATTCATGAAGTAAATTATAAATAATATATTTTGGATTAATCTCATGACTTCAGGCCTTCAAAGGCATTTATTTTCCTCCTTTCCTCCTCTTCCTCTACCCCCCAAACACAAAATGTAAAAATATGGTTTTCTGAAACACTTTATAATTGTTACAATTAGAAGACTTCCACAACAGGAACACTGAAAAGGACATCAAAACTGGAGATTTGTTGCTTGAGAAAATACAAATAAAAGAAGTTGTCAGAAGTGAAATGCAAAATTTTACCATCTGCATTTACTAACGCAACATAAAGTAAACATCATGATTGTGACCATATGTATTTTAAACAGCAGTACCATTTCTATTTAAAAGGTCAAGTTTAAAACTATTCATCTATTCATCAATGACAGGAAGGAAGTGGAGTCTAATAAACATTTGCATTTAAATTTATCTGATCAATACATAATGCATTTCCTTTATGTATTTTTTAAACTTTGAAAAGGAATTGTAAGTTTTAAGAAATGTTAACAATACACTATCTACAGTTGAATAATACAAACGTTTAAGTAACATAATTAAATAAGTATATGAAAATACCATCGCTTTTCCTGTCATGCAAATTTAAATTCATTTGTCAGTCTTCAAAGCTGGATAAACATGCTCCATTTGCTCTAACTGGAGTATGATTTAAACATTTTATTATCCCTGCAGGTGATAGTTTACTTTTTCAAACTCTGAATAAATCAGTCACGAATCATTAATGCAAGTGTGGGACCTTCACAAGAGTAGTGGTGTCTGTAGGAAACAGAACCTCAACATTGGCTTTCCAAACAAATTCTGGATGCAAAAAGAATTTCAGCAAAATCTGTATTCATTTATCTTTATACTATAGCACCTTAACACTTGAGTACAACTGTTTCAAAATACAACTGGTTTACTGCTAACAATTTGGTGAATAAACATTTAAGATACTTCACATCCACAGAAAATTATGTAGGAATTTTTTTATGTCTTTCATAATTCAGATACTATACTTACCTCTTGGCTGTCCTGTAAACAGAAAAATATCATTTTTATTGAGGATCATTGAAAGACAAAAAGCCCCCCACAAAACTGCTTAAACACTTACTTTAGACTTTGTCTTTTCTTAACAGACTTAACAAAATTAGTTAATCATCCCATTAATACTAAGGAAAAAAAGCACTAACCTCATTTTTACTAGATTGCACAGATTCGTTTTCTCTGCAAGACTGAGAGGAGTCACTTAGCAACCTGTCAAAAACAAAAACAAATCCCTCCAGCTCTTACTCAAGTTTTCAACAACTCTGGCAACCCTGCCATTTTAATCAATTCTCTCAAGTCTCAATTTGTCCTACACTGCTCTCAGAATGAGGTTTGTTTTGTTTTTATGTTAGTGCATCTTTTTGATTTGAATCTTTCATTAACAAAATGCTTCCAAAACTACAGCAGCTTGTAATTTTTTAATTAATACAATTATTTATTGATTATTCAAGATGAATTCTAGAAAGTTATTAATGCTGTGTAAGCTTTCTTCTAAAATAACTAATAAAATGTCATTTTAGAAAAAAAAACCCACCAAATCTATCAGAATTTTAACCTTAATTGATTTTTTAAGATATTGTATACTTTTCTGCATATAAAAACACATTGTTTAATCAGAGTTATCAAAATAATTGAAAGAGTAAAAAATTATTGTACTCAAACTTTGCATTTTGTATCTTCACAATTGGACATAAATTAATATAATGCAAGGAATAAATCATGTATTTAGAGTAAAAAAAAAGAATATAAGAAAAATGTGCAAGCATGTTTTCAAAAATGCATATCAAAGTATCACGTACAAATTATCTCTGTAGTAGGTAAATCCTATGAAAGGCAGCTGGTTTCCCACAAAGGCTTTGGGGATTGGAAAGGTTTCCACGTCTCCCTTGTCGTCCTCAATGTCATCAAAATTACTGCTATCTATATCACTGCTAAGCTCGGGAACAACAGGAGCAGCAGCTATAAAAAGGGGGGAAAAAGATGCATTTCATTCCAAGATTCAGTCACTTGCTATATACTGGTATCTCTCTAGTGTTAAAAGACTATATTATAAGTTGTCCTCAAATAACTTGGGAGTTAAATATGTATTAACCAGACAGCAGATCTGGAAATATTACTGTGAACAATTTTTCTAGAGCAATCTATGTTTGTATTCGTTGCCTAAAGCATAGGCCATCTAGTATGCAAGACATATTTGCTCAGGTAATCACACTTAAGAATACAACTTTAAATCCAATAATTTTAAAATTTCTTAGTAAATATATAACTTTAGAAGTTATGACAAGCTTATGAGAACTGACATACTTTGCTTTTTTACTTAAAGCTATCAGGCTCCCAATATCTTACATGAAAAGCAGTAAAACTGACAAGTTCGACCACTGTCAAACTACTGTCTTAACTACCAAAACATTAAAAGAAAAATGAAAGGAAACCAAAAAACCGACCTCAAAAGAATTAAAAAAACAGAGAAACAGAACCCAACATGCATTCCTTTTAGTTAAAATTCTGAAACATCCAATTCCATTGTTTAAAATGGAAATGCCTACATTAAAAACATGATAAAGGTGAGATAATTCCAGTAGGAAAAATGTGAATTTATTAACCCGTCCTTATATCAGCTTTTATAATACAAGTGATAAATATGAATGTTCGGGCAAGATTCATAATAGAAAGTACTTAATTTATACAACAGAAAGCTTTTTTTCGTTTCTACTATTGCAAATACCGAATAAAATAGAACTTTTAACCTGATTTACTTACTCTCTCGAATGTTGTCCCAGTTCCACTGATCACTTCTGAAGAAAGGGTGATGCTTTATTTCTTCTACCCCATTTCTCCCAAGTCGCACATCCCTAAACAGCAATTAATCCAGAGTCACATCAGGAAAAAAAGCTGTTTTTTTGATTTTTTTTAATTTAAATTCTCACTTGTTCATAAGCAGCAATGAAACTTTCAGTAAAGACTGTCTGTGTTAACCACACTAATGGTCAAACAAAAACAAAATTTCAAAACCACCAACCACTAATCTGTAGTTTCTTATATAAAATGTACTGATTCTTAGCATGCGCTCTCCCTGTGACTGCTAAAATGTCCAGAATCTGGAGTCTGCCACGTGGGGAGTAAAGCAAGAAAGCAAGCACTGAGGCAAAAACTAAGAAAAAACTAGAAACACAAACAAAAACTCAACACCCTTGGGGGAAATAAAACTGCAGAACTTTTGTGTCTGCCAAACCACATGACAGACCATAAGACGCAAGTGAAGGAAGGTCTAACTTGCTGCACAGAACAGTTATTCAAAGTTGGACTAAAATAAATATCCTAAGAATTCCATCCTCTGCCCCACAACTAACCCTGACACGTCTCTTGCCGATATTTGCCATGAAGTAAATCTTAAGTGCAACAAGAAACTAAGTTTGAACAGAGGAGTCTCTCTTGAAACTACGTACAAGAACAGGACATAAAAACAATGCATGGAAAAGAAGCAATAAATCACAGGGTTGATGTTAGTCCTTCTTTAAGTGCTTCAGCAGCGATCACGCAGCATCTGTTTCAAATAAATTGCCTGAGCCCAGTGTTAAATATAAACAGGAAGAGGGACACACGTAGTGGAAGTCCACCTTACTACATTTACACTATTAAATTCTAATCATGTTTTCTCTCTACCCTTCAGCTACTAAGGGAGACAAATGCTGTTAAATAAAGCACATCCTTCCTGACCAACCACAGGCTTGCTCAGTAAAGCAAACAATCTCTCTTCAAATGCAAAACCCATTATAAGGCATTTTGTTTTCCTAATCCCTCCTTCTATAGTGGCCAGATGTCCTGCTCCAGCCAAGTTCAGGTGACCACAGGAAAGCATAAGAAGGCATCATCGAGCCAGAGTTAACTGTGAACCTACACTGTTCTTTTAAATCAGTGAAAATGAAGATTATCTCTGCTTTCTGAAACTAAACAAAATGTAAGTATTCAGGTCAAGAACAAGCTTACACAGCTTAATTTCAGTAAGTGGCTTAGTTCCATTAAGGGAAACTTCTTGGATTTGTTTTTTTTTAGCCAAAATAATAACCTTGGAAGACTGTTAGTTATATTTACCAATTAATGCAACCAAGTAGAAGAAAAAAAATTCCAACACTCTAAGAAACCTTAAACAAATTCAGTAAATACATTCTCACTTTCAGAAAATATTTGCTTCCACTATTTTTAATTAACACCCATATAGATATTGAGCAAAACAATTTTGTCTCTGCCTTGGAGGTTATGAATTACTTTCAGTCTTACAGGTTTGTTACTGTAATTGGAAGAATTTGTCCAGCACAAATTGTGTTATATTAACAAGAGCTGTCAGAACTGCTCATAGAAATAAAATACAATACCTGGAAAAAACACCTCAAAAGAAAAACTAGAGAACAGGAGGTTTGGCAGAAGAGATTTGAACAGAGATCAGGAGAAGGAATTAATTTTTACAACGTACCATCCAAAATAAATACACCCAATACATTCCAAAATAAAAACCAGTGCCAGAACAATATGTGCACTTACCTATCAGTTAAAAAGGCACAGATAAGGTTCTTTGCATGCTTAGAGATTTCCACATCATCTGGGAAATGCAATGAGTTCTTATGATCCATAATTTTACTGTATGTTCCTACTAGTGAGTCTGCATAAAAAGGAGTATCGCCTGAAAATAAAATAATACATTGGCTGTGACTTTACATCATGTTTAAATTATGTGAGTTGAATAAGACAACAGAGATAATGAAAAGTCTACAAGCAGTTTACCAGGAAGAGTCTTGTATTAATAAAAATTTAAAAAAATGGACATGCAGTGTACAAATTATATATACTGCTGAGAATATTCCTTCCCCAAAATGTCTCTGCTACAGACTACACCATTTTCCATCCTGTCTATCACTACCAAAATTTTGCCTAGTGACTTACATCTTTTGTTCTGCCTTAAGACTCTCAATATATTTTCTAATTTACATAATGGCTGACACCTGTATGAATCAATCTTTAAACATTCCAAGGGTAAAATGAACCAAAACTCATTAAAGACTTGCTAATGCACATTTGTTGGAAGGAATCCACCAAAGCTCTCAGAAGACCATTTCAGAGGCACACAGCTCTATCCTCCCTAAGGCATGTCAGCTCTGAGCAGGAGCCTTCCCCGTGTTACCACACTGTTAAACCCATATTAATAAATCTTGTTGACTGACAAATTACATCAGCCTGAGTGCCCATATTAACAAGGCAGGTGGCTTTTAAAATAATAGACTTTTCTCACTCAGAGGTTTCCAGCCTAGGCTATAGTTAAAGATAATTGCAAAGGAACTAGACTTAAGAAAGGTAAAACTGCAGTAAGTGAAGAGAATAGGCTGTGATAAAGGCAACTGACAATCAAATTAACTGGCAACATTCTCAACATACAAATGGTTTGGGTCTGTAATCAAGAAGCTGCAACTTTTGCAGGAATCCTTTCTCCCAACTAATCCATAGATTTAATAGAGAAGGTGAACAATCAGTCACGTGAGCTAGGCTCTTTTCTTGGTTCAGCAGGAATCACCTGGAATCACAGGCTGCAGCCTTCCAACAAGGAACATGAAAAAATGTACAAACAGACCAAAGGACAACAACCATTCTGCTTTCAAAAGCAGAAATTAGTACACACCAGGTTGAACTTAACTTCCAGACTTTTAGTAAATCTATTAGGTTGCCATAACAGTGCATTGAAGGTAGGAATCACTGATATTTGCTGCTGCCTCCCTCTTTCCCAACCTTCCTCTTCTCAATCATCTTGTGTCTTGGAAACAGCTTTGATTTTGGCCACACCTCAAAACTATCTTAAGTCACTGAACTAACGTTACGATTCGTCCTGTGACCAACATTTTATGGTTTAGTTAAGCACACAATAAAATTTTCATTTTCATAATAGAAGTAGTTTACATTAGTTCTGTAGCTTTATCAAAACCAGAATAACAAAACAGTTTCTGTAATTTCTTTGAAGTGCAGAATTTTAGAAGACCATAGCCAGAATCTGATACATAAGCACAGACAAAAATAGATACTTTCTACCAATGTGTGGGATACGGAGAAATTAAGTAATATTTTCCTCCTAGATAAAAAAGAGGAAAAAAAGAGGTTCTGAAATGCTGACAAAACATTCTAGACAGCTATGAATATATTTTAAGAACTGAATAATTTTATTTACTGCTAAAATTGTTCATAAGAGACTATTAACTATAAACCACACATTCTTAAAGTCAAAATGTAATTCTGAAAGAGTTGGAAATAGTAACAGCATCATATGCTTAAGTATCTCAGGATACCAGAAACTTCAAATCTGCAATATTCCCAGAAAATGCTGATTTGGATTTTTAATACTTGTATGCTTAATTCCATCCTTCCATAGTCAGGATTTTGCTACCAGACTATCATACTGATCCTCACTATATTTTAAGATGTAGATGATTCATCTCTTTAACGGATTATATTCTATGTTTGTTGCCATAGCAGTCCAGTGTATTTTACTAGAAAATTCTGACTCCAGCACAAAAGAAAGAATTGAGCCATACTTCCACACGTTGACCTAACAGAAGACATTGATGTGGTGTGAAAAGGAGGAGAAAAGGACAGTCCTGTCCTTGCATTCCTGTCTCATCTGTTATGTCTCTGCAAACTCAGTCCTGCCTGAGGTGGCCCAAATGTGGTGAGGTAGCTGACCCCAGTTAAAACTATTCTAAGAATTAGTTCTAAGCTGAACCAAGTCAGGGAACTAATCACTGAGCAAGCACGCAAACAGCTGTTGCAGCACGCGAGTGACAGAGAGCAAAGAGAACAGCAATGAAGCTGCAGCAGCAGCCAAAATCAGAAGCTGTTCGTGAGGCACGAGCAGCCTCCAAGCAGCAAAGTGCAGCTAAAGGCACAAGGAAGACTCAATGATAATCTCATTAGCAGAGGAAATCATTACTTACCAACTAACATCTCAAAAAGGAAGACCCCTACAGACCACCAGTCACATTCCCGTCCATAATAACCATCACCCCCCTGCGATTTCAGGACTTCGGGCGAGATGTAGTCGGGCGTCCCCACGGCCGTGTCGCAGCGCACCATTCCTGTCTGTGCAACAGTAACAACACAAACAGCTCAGCTCAAGGGGCTTCTGAGCACCTCTCTAAGCAATTCCTCTGCCACTAGGACACAAAACCATAAAAATTATAGCCTGAAATACTTGGTTTGAGGAGTGTGTTTTAAAGACTATTTATAATTCAAGAAGAAATATGCATTGAAATTACATTTCTTGGCAAGGTGCTTGCCCCTGTATACTCTGCAGTGATTCCTCTTGACTTAACCTTCTCAAAATTCACCAATTTTATTATTTTTACCATTGATTTTAATATTAAGGTACACACTATATCATACTGCTCCTTTTCTCACTGAATTCAGGGACAAACTTTAGAATAATTTTGACAAGTTATGAATTCCAGGCCTTACAAAGCAGATACATAACAATTTTGTCTAATTCAGCCAATAAGTCTAGTTATAGGTAAATTTTTATAAACATACCTTGTTTTTGTTTAAAGATAAGAAGAACAATAAAAGGAGAAGCTATTTTTATAGAATAGCAAAGCTTTCTTTCTTAAAAAAATATTTTTTTATTATCATATTACCCCAGTTGTATCAATGAAATGATTCCTTATCCTCTGCTTCACACTGAGGAACTAAAAATGTAGGGGCTAAGTGACGCAGAAGCATCAATCAGCTCTGCCATCATTCTGATTCAAAGTCCTGTTTCTTTTAATGAAATTCACTGAATTCACTCCTGAGACCAGATGGATGAATGAAATTAAATCCTAGATGACGTTAGAGAAATACCAAAAATATACACTCATTTTTTATTCCGTTCCCCAATTTGAATTTATCTAAATCATTTTACAAAGGTTCTTCGTGCATTTTGCCATCAGCATGAATGGCAATACGTATTAATTCTAAATATTAATACAGAATATTAGTAGTAACAACTAAGTTCAAAATGCATATTTAAAGTTCATTTTGGGAATTGTACTGATACACAAAATTTAGACACCACATTACAATATTCTTTCTCATACACAATATGAGCTGCAAAAAGCTTTTATCTCTTTACTAAAACAGAATCCAGAAAGGCATGAACCAGCAGGTAAAAACTAAAGGATGACTAAATACTTCTACTTACTGTAGAGTATGGAAGTACTATGCAGTACTTCAAATGTCCTCCTGGCAAATGCCTATCTTCTATGACTCCATTCTAAAACTGAAACCTAAAGAAGTTTTAACTTCTCAGTTCCAGAATGAAGAGCAGATAAACTTTCGCATTCTATACTGGATGAGATAGCCCATAGCTTATTCATACTGGGATAAGAAAATGAAATTAGCTCTTTCCAGAAGATCTATTGCATTCATTAGTCAAAGAAAAATACAGGCAAACATTTTAACACTGGAAAATAAACTAAAGCTCTAAGATGTCAGAAATTTAAAGTTGAGAGCATTTGAAAATGAATCTAGCACAAGGCAAGGAACCACTGTTTGAATATCCTGCTTGCCACAGCATTCTCTGCACTAAGCTGCACCTCTTCTCTGAAGCCTAAGCCTGTCTTTGCTTTGAGCACAGGGAGAATTGCTCTAGGGTTATGTGGCTCTGCTCATCCAGTAGGACTGTGGCAACTTAATGAGGCACCAACACTAGTGTGTCTCTATCTGTTCCTTATCCAAACACAAAATTACAACAAGGGAAAGCCTGAATTTTTGCTCAGTCAAGTCTGGTTGAAGCCACCTGAATCCCTCCCTGGGTAAGGAGATACTTTAAAAACAAAGTCACCAAAACAATTCTGAAAGAGTTCTCTGAAGTCAGCTTCAGTCACAGCCTCTCCACCTTGACACCTAAGCACTTAATAACACCCTATTTCCCATCCCTCTATAATTAATACACCAAAGCAAGAATACTTTTTAATATGTTACACATGTTGATATTTTCTGAAGTCTTAAACAAACAAAGCAAAGGCTGTGCCAACACCCAGAGAGACCTACACAAATCTGACACCTGGTATGCAGCAACAAGGAAAGACTTTTCAACGATGTTACAGATGCTAAGGAATTTCATGCAATAAAACTTCAAGTTTTCAGACAAGGTGCCAAAGAATTGAACAGTAAAACACGAAAAAAAAAAAAATCCGCAATAGAAGAAGCCCTTGCATGCTAACACCAGGTTCAATGGGCCATAGCTCTGTCTGAAGGACATGGAGCTGGTTATACTTACTCCCCATAGAACTCTCTGAGTTCCGTCTCAGGAACTAACCTAGAAAAGCATTCGTACATCACACAACAGCCTGGCTTGGAAGGGACTTGAAAGTTCAACTAATTCAGCCGGTTGTAGGAAAAGCAGCTGATATAAGATTATCTAGCATCCTGAGGGACTGCATCACAAAATGGGGATTCTACCATGTCCCTGAGGAAGTTGCCCATTATCACCTCAATATAAAATTCCCAGATTTCTGTTTCACTCATTTACACACTTCTTTCAAAGAACTTGGGTGTTGTTCTGTACGTATTCTTAAGTACTGGGTACCTTTAATACCACAGTCAGACTGTGATCTCTGGCATAAAAGCTGAGTAAACAGGGACATGCTCTCTGTCCACTACAGAGCACCTTGGCAGTCCCTACACTCTGAAGAGACTTAAATGGAGCTGCTTACTCTGGGCAATGTGTTACTCCTGTGTTTCAAACACTAAGCCTCTACTTATACCAGAGTAGCACATTTAATGTAACAGTTACCATGCAAAGCTTCCTGTTGGGAGTCTCAGGCCAGTGTTCAACCTGAAACTTTTCTCATCACCTCAAAAGATCAAGGTGGACCTTGGAACTTATCTGCAGCTATATGAGAGATGTACAGTGCACAACAATTTTAAAAAATAGTCTGTCTAGGAGACAGCAGTGTTCTCGCAGCTCCTGACAACCTGCAGGTGAGCTCCCTGTAGTGTTTCCCAGCATCATTCAGCATTATTATATTGCTGAAGACAAAGCAATTCAGGTTTCATCTTCAGGAGGATCTCCATCAAACCTGAAGGACTTGCTGTCTTGAACCAAGGCTGACAATCAGGCTTTCACCCCCTCAGGAAGTTCCTTCCAGTAAACAAGAGCTGGAGGGTGTTTGTGTGAAAACAGGAGCACCACACACATCAGCTGTTAACAGCAGACAATGCACTGAGACAGGAAGGATCCAGCAGAGTCCTCTTCACCGGACAAGCTTCAGTGAGAAAGAAGCTGAGCTCCAAAAAGAGGAACACACTGCTTCTTTCAGCTGAATTGTCTGGGTTGAGGCAATAATCCCAAGTGGCAAACATCCCTTCCTTTGGTCACATCTTTTTCAACAGATACTCTCTGAATCTGTGCTCTGCAGAAAGCTCAGTTAGCACAGAACAGTGCTGTGCGTGGCAACACTGGGAGTTCCTGGCCCTACGATACCTACCTAAGCCAACTGCTGTTTAACTTCTTACACAACACCTGAGGATTACACAGAGACTGGTGAACCCTGCCCTGGTCTACCTTATCATACCTAAATACCAAAAAACGGAACTATGGTTCCTACTAAATTTTTGAGTCTAACTCCTTATTCAACAACAGAAATACTCATTTTGTTGCAGATTTTTAAAAAGACAACTAATTAAAAAAAAATCCAAAACAAACAATGAAAAACACCACCACAAACTCCCAATTATCACAACTGAGTTACATAAACAGAAAGTTCCTTTTATGCTGGAGAAGATCACTAAAATGCTTAGCAACTATTTTCAGAAAACGATAAGGAGAAACTCTGCTGCAAGTGTCTGTTCTGGCCTGGCCTGGCTGACTTAGGCAAATACTGAACAGCAAAGGTCAGAAAAATCTCTCAACAAATTGCAGCAAAATGTTCCTGGGCTCTCAACAGTGTAAGGAAGATGCTAATGTTCACAACTGCTAAAATAGATCCAAATAAAAAAAAAAAAAAGTAAGTATTGGGTAAGCAGTGCGTTTTCTACAAATCAGTCTGCCAACACCAATATTATATTTACACAGCTGGGATGTGTTCATGTTTTGTAAGAAGTAGCATGAGATTTGGAGACAATCCAGAAACTCTCAACTTCTAAAGTTTCCTGTAGAAAAAAACTTTTGCCATTCCACTGAGTCTGAGAAACACAAAAAACTTAAAATGCAATCCTTTAAAAAAATCAACTTCTCTAGGAGATCACTGGTCCATTGATGATGCCCACTCTAAATTGGAGCTCACTGTAACTTTTTACAGGAAACACGGAAGCACTCCTCACATTTACAGTACCATAATCCACATTTTAGTATTTAGTAATTCTTTTAATAATAGCAGTGAAAAAGAAAAAGGTAAAAGGCGTAGGTCCACCATTTCTGGAGTCCCTAAAACAGCACAGAGGATCACCTTTTTTTTTTTAGTAGATTTACACTGTGAACTTTTTATATATTTTTTTGTTGTCACTTCCAAAGAACAACAGATTCCCTTAAGACATTACAATCTACTGACTCAAAACAAATATTAATATTTTTAGGGACTTAATTAAGAGACCAAGTACTACTTTTGAATTTTTCAGTTAAAGTAAATGCTGTTCTCTAAAATACAGACAAGTAAATAAACAAAATTGAGGCAAATATTATGTCTGCCTTTACTAACAACTACAACATCAACAAAACTGAATAGACTGAACTTCAATAAACAGCTGCAGTTGGACAATTATGAAGTTAATATATTATCATGTGAAAGAAACCCACCCTAAACAGACACAGTACTTCTGGATACTGCTGAAGAGACATTAACTTAATGATGCAAATGCAAATTAAGTAGATAGTACAAATTATATCAAGCACTGACTAAATAATACAGTAGAAACCCCAAAACATAAAAGCAAGTATAACTGGCACCCTTGCCAACGCTACTACAGAAAATTTTCAGGGACCAGGTAAATCATAACATGCACTCATATACAGTTTTTTGTATATTTCATAATCTGTTACAGTTTTTCACAGGAAGAATAGTTATAGTTTTTCATAGGGATAGTATATTCTGTAAATTACAGCCAGACAAGATTCTAAGAGTGTAAACTACAAAAGGTAGTTTTATTTTCAAGATTTTTTAATAATATAAAGTATCCTGTTAAAAATATTCTTATACAAACTTTTGAAAAAACTGTATTTGGCTGTACATGGCTAACTCTGGACAATTAAATCATTTCAATTGACATCTTGGCATCCTGACAAATAACTAACAGAATTTGATCAATACATCACATACCACAGCTGCTGTACTGTGACCTCATCCGAATGACCACTAGAGGATGCTATGAGAACAATTAGATACAGGAAAAAACCACGAAATTTATCTTGCCTATAAAATTATTTCATTTACCAAAAAAAGTCAGCTTATGAACTGTTCTAACATTATTAATGTTGAAACTAAGAGTTATCTTGCAAGCTTTTCAAACACTGGCAAAAAAAATGTACCTCAGAAATTCATAAACTCACATACTTTCAAAAATAGCAAAGAGTAAGTTTACATCCTCTTTCCGTGTGAGAGAACAGTTTATAACAGAAAAAGTTACACTATTTAAAGTACTCTTATATTTAGAAGTATGACTCAAGAAACAGCCTTCTAACGAAGTAGATCATTTGATGAATACCTTTGTGTATTATACTTCGTAAGAAAATAACCTTAGATATAGACATAATTTAGAATTAAATTAATAGATGGTAAATTATTCAGTTGCATACTTACTTCATCCATTTTCATGCAAGTGCCAAAATCTGCCAGCTTCAGATGCCCATACTTATCTAAAAGCATATTGTCAGGCTTCACATCTCTGTGTATCAAGCCCATGGAGTGAATTGCATCAAGAGCAAGAACAACTTCAGCTGTGTAGAACTTGGCCCATTTTTCAGGCACATCATAATTGCTCATAAGGTTTACAAGATCTCCACCTGGCATGTATTCCATTACCATGTACAAATATTTGTCATCTTGAAAGGCACAAAATAGCTGCAACATTAAAAAAAAAAGGAAAGGAAAAAACGTAATTACTTTTCAGACAGCCATGGAAAAGAAGAAAGCCCTTTATCTTGAAGTTTCATTAAACCTGAGAATATGTTTTCAAGATGACTTTTAATATGCATAAAATATACGTTTTTCTACTAATTATGAGAGCACCTTGAAATTTGCTGAACTTCAGAATCCCCTCATTATAATTTTTGAGAAAATAAAAAATATTTCCTATTATTTTAATACTATAGGTGTCTACCTATTTTAAGACTAAGGCATTAAGAGTCAAAATGCAAAGTATCAAATCTGCGACAGGAAGCATCATGTTCTGATTTTAAAATAGCTCAACAGTGAGCAGCATCTTAGACTGTTTCCAAATTTTCTATATTATAAATTCCTTATCTCTGTACATGTTTGCAAAGTGACTGTTGACTAAATCAACACAGATTGAAATAAGAAATAAAACCAAAATGTTCCTGAAGACAATTACAACACAATACAAAGAAACTGTCCTTAACAATAAAATATTGATCTGGTGTAAGTTGCAGTCAGTATGTTTCCTACTGGCATGATAGTAAAAGTAAGTTCAGTCTCTTTAAAATGTGTTTCAGACCTAGAGTGCTGAAGTTTTAGAGATTCCACCCAGTGATCACCAGGTCTGAAAATAGCCCAGTCCAGCAAAAAGCATTACTATCAAATGTTCAATGACTGTTGTGAAGAAGTCTTTGAAAGTCTCACCTTATTTCTCAGGGAATACTGCCTTAACTTAAGAACTAAAACCATTCACATCTTTAAATTACACACACAAAATTTAAAGGTGATTGAAAAATAGGATGTGTGGAAAGGAAGTCAGAATCACGGAGACTGTGGAGGATGAGGAACCATGAAAGGCAGGTATGTTATTATGGAGATTTGACCTTCAGATTAAAATTACTTCTATAACTAGTGACAGAAGACCTAGATAAGAAATATATATTTTAACACATATATGTTGCACTGCATTTGTTTGCACAAATGGTAATATATGCAATATATAGTACAATAATGCACTGGGTCATTAAAATCCAAATAAAGATTCAAAATAATCTCTATTTTGTCACACAGAGGGATATTAATATAATAATAAATAACACCACTATGTCTTTATACGGTACTTTTGTTATTGTCCTTAAGGGATTTCATTTAAAAAAAATTAAAACTATCCAGAGCTCTTATTTCATTTGTTTTTCACATTAAAACCTAGACAGAAAGAAGCAGTATGATCTATCCCAGTTTCTAGATCAGAACAGGACCTACATTTTCTTCAAACCAGCTCAATGTCCTACCCCACTGGACCACATCACCTAAATATATCACACTAATATACTTAATCACAGAAGGCAGAATTGCAACTACACTTTAGTTCATTTGCTATTTACAAATGCAGACACACATTTAGATCTTGCTTGTGACAGCTTCCTTTGAAAATCCACGTCATGCATTTCTTGCTACTTTCAGCTGCATGTGAAAAATAGTTCCTGACAATTACTGTTACTAGAACAAAATATTTTAAGTATTTCTGCTGAATATAGGCAAGAGCACAGAACACGCTCAAAGAGCAAAACATCTTTGTATACCTGAGGTGAAGTGTTATGAAAAATATATGGAAAGCTTAAAGCCAGTCTTATTAAATATACAGAAGCATGTCAATAGATATATGGGAGCATTTCAATTAATTATATTTAAAAATTAAGGACTAACAATTTCTCCAAGAACATGCTTTCACTACTCCTTTTGTTAACTGGTGCAATTTACCAATTACAACAAATGGCAATAATCAGTACTGATTGCTCCCAAAGGCATAATTCACATTACAGCATCTTGATGACACATGTCACGAGACTGCTGTGAGTGACAGTGTTCAAGACCAGATGAAGGAGTCAAGTCTCCATTACTTGGATATGCTGAGTGCTGATGCTCAGAACTGACCACTATGAGAAGAAGGTTTCAAGGAATCCCCTGTTACAGCCCCTTGTCTTGCAGGAGACCAGGACTGCACACTCATCATATATCATACTGTGGCCGAAAAGACAGTGACTATTTAAAGCACTCAATACCAATTGCCTGTGATCAACTGACTGTATCATGAGGAAAGACTGGAAATACCAACCACATTTGTTTCTACATTCCTACACAGATTTTACAGTTGGAAAGATAACTTCCCTATTATTCCAAATAATTACGTAGGCATTTTAAAAATCTATTTAATTATTTTATGATTTTATTTAATTATTTTATGCATTTGTAGTGACTAAAATGCAAATTAATCTACTTTTTAACACAGCCAAATACACAAAACTTAGGGAAATTGCTGTAAAAATGTATTTTTTAAAAGTAAAAATCTGAACCTAAACCTTGATTTGAGTTTGTAAATTCAAAACCAGCTCAGGACTGAGAAGTATTTATGCCATCAGCATCATTACTATTGCTGTTGTTGTTATTATTTTACTTTTACATATCTTCCTTACCTGAACCACCCACGGGCTGTTGGCAAAGGCCATGATATCTCTTTCTTCCCAGAAAAAGGCTGAATCTGATCTCTTGATCATTTCAAATTTACTTAGTAGCTTCATTGCATAAACCTTCTGTGTCATTTTATGTCGAACCTGTTGGTTGAGAAAGAAGAGAATCAACCTTTTTAAAATGCCTTGTTCAAAACCTGAGTACCAGCATAGTATGTTTCTGCTGTGTGCAAACTGCTTTCTGGGATGCCATGCCTCCAGGTCTTCATACACCAATTTACTAAACAGTAAGGATTTAAGAACTTCCAAACCTAAAAAGAAAAGTTTAACAGCTGCTCAAAAAACCCACCATAGCAGGAAATAAAGTCTAACTCTGCATTTATTTTCTTATTCTGAACACTGTCTAGCCATTGATTTAATTTATGTTAGAAACTGGGCAAGCGATCTGCTTCAGCCTCTGCCAATTTTTATTTTACACCAAAACATAATTGCTCCTATTTTTTTTCCCTAAACAGTTCTTAAATTCACTTTAAATGGTGCAAAATTAATACAATAAATCTTGTTTGAAAACTGGAATTAAAGCCTTTATTACAAAACATGAAAACATTTTTGAAAACTTTATCTGAATTCAGACATGAAACCAAATCCTTAAATTGCACATTGCAGTCATTACTCATATCCTATTTTATGAAAAAACCTATTAGAGGAACAGGTTTTTTTAACATTCTTGAGTGTTCCTTAAAGAAATCAAGGTGAGAAGTTTTCAGCTGTAAGAAGTCTGAATCATAAGGACTTTAATTTTCTGCATATTTTTTTCCTGTTGAAATAAAAAATTCAGTGGACTAGTTTGTGAAATTGATTCATGAAAATTATCAGTCTCCAGCTCCCAAGGAGCTGCAAAAATTAATATTGCTGAAGGAATGGAAGAAGCATCAAGTGGAAGGGGTAATCTTGACAAAAGCAAGAACATAAACAGAAAGAGAATTATTTAAGGAGCTGCTGTTCTTGAAATTGAGGCTTTTTGCCTTCAAGATACAGGTGTAAAGTTTTATTATTAGTATCTCGCATAGTTTAACATTAATAAACAACCTTCTCTACAATTAGATAAAAAAGCTCCAACCCTAAGACCAGAACAGAAACGTGCTATCTATGTGCATTAACAACTCTATAAGCATATTTTAGGACATTAATTAGTCAGCTAGTGAAGGTGTCCTAAAACAGTATTTTGTAAACTAAGTTCTTCCCACTTACTAATCCCACATGGGATTATTTACAAAGACTTGGTGGTACACCACAAACTATACTCCCCTGAGTAGAGCTTTTGTAATCCTGCCCAAAACCAGAAGAAACACAAAGACCAGAAACCTCAAAAAGATATTGTTTAATTGAAGATGCATTTTCTACGAAACATCACATTGAAGCTCTACAATGCATTTAGTAGTTTACAGTTCCTAAAGTCAGTGTACTCTTGCCTAGGTGCAGTTAGAGTAGCTGCCTGCATTTAGAAAAACAACTGTCTCCCATGACCTGGGGAAAAAAATTCTTGAAAGTCAGCTCAGCCTGAAGGAAGCTCATGTACAGAAGAGGCAAAGTAAAGAGGGGTGGGGGACCCACAGTCAGTCTACACACCTCTCTAAATAGTGCCAATAGGTTATTGGCTAAATGATTTCTTGAGAAAATGTCAAGATAGGCTCTTTCTCTGTACAAAAACAAAGCAATAACACATATACTGGCACACCCAGAGACTGAGTGTGTCTTGGCACACCTTGCAGGTGAGCAGACCTACCGCTGACATTCCTCCTATCAGCCCCACACCCCCTGGAGACAGCCTTTTGAGCTGCTAGCCACTGTGCTCTTTACTCAGAGCTATATTTGTACGTACAGATATTGGCTCATACAGCAGATTATTCATGTATTAAACTGTCATGATGTTTCAATTTCTTCCAACTGTTAAAATGAACTGCCAAATTTAAACTGCAGCTCACCAGAGTAACTCTCAAAATAGGTAGGAAAATCCCTTCATGCCATTAGTACTGAGTAACATGACCTTGTTTAACTCATGAAAATGCATTAAGAAAAAAGAATTTCACTCTACTCTGTTTCAACAATCTAGTAACTTCAATAAACAAAATGCATCCATAATTTCCCCAGCACTCATATGGGAAGACAATCTGTAGGCAAAGAAAATAACACATCCATTTGAAGTGATCATATCTAGTGTTGGTAATGGTATTGTCTCTTCTATGATTTTGAAAAAAATGATGATCCTAGGGTGGAGTTTTGAAATGAACTCTGAGGCTTGACTCAATTACAAGTCTCCTAAAATATTTTAAAAAGCTGTAAGAAATGACTACAGATAGGGTATCAAAGTTCACATCCAGGTAATAAAACATGACTGCTTTATCTGCTTTACTAAAGAACTGAACATCAGCAGCGGATGGGGAATTAAACCTAATAAACAAAGGACTTAATGAAGAAAAATAAACCAGCATCTGTTTATGGAGGCCATGACAACCACTGGTTTGCAACACTGACAAATCAGAAAATAAAGACTGTCACACAGACCATACTGTAGCACCCAAACACAAGGAAGTGGTAACTTTGCTTTAGTTTTCTCTTCCAGTACATGAGCAGGACAGTCTGCTGTGTCACTGCAATGTCACAGTCTGTCATGGTTAGACGTGGGAGAAGGAACTAAGGGTAAGTTTCAATTTCAAATCAAGATGATTTTCCACAAGTGAAAAACAAACAAGAGGAACTCAGGATGTGCTTTCATAAATAACTGTTTCTACATAAACCAGAAGTAACATATTAAGTACCATAATTCAATTTTTTTGTCTGCCCTAGACACCAGTCACTTTTATTCACAGCACAGCATAAGAGCAAAAGTGGTCTGGCAGCTGGCAATCATTTTCTTAGCTTTCCCCATCATTACAGACCCAGCAACACCAGAGACCAGAGCACAAGTGTAGAGTTTAATACTTCTCGATTTATAAGGAAATTGTTTCTCCACCACAGTCAGATGCTCAGACCAGAGTCATCTGATCTCTCTTTACTGGACTATTTTTTAAATTTTTTGAAGGAGAGAGGAAGAGGAAAAATCAAGCCTTTTTAAAAATAATCTAGCTGTAAAACATAACAGCAGAGAATACGTTTCACTTTCTTGACGGAAACTGGAAAGCTGATTGCTTCATATCACTTCTTTAGCAAGAAAATGCTACACTGGAGCAGAAGACTAAGGCAAAACAAAATGAAATTAAAGAGGTCATAGCTAACTATTTTATGCTGCAAACATTACAAGCCAAAAAATAAGCATACTAATATAATAATTAGAAACATATAATAAATATTTATGCAACAATTCCCATGCACAATAACACATACTGATAACACAACATTCATTAATTTAACTCATGTATTTAATCATGTTTTATATATGGTTCTTTCTGTATTTAATCCCCAATGAAGCAAATTTCTATTTTGATCACAGAAAGTGTTGCAAAATACTTTCATTACCACAAATCCATCATCTGCAACAGTGGTGTTAACATTTTGAATGGAGTAGAAATAGATAGAGCTTAGCTCAATAGTTTAAACTTGTACCATACCTTGTGAGGCAAAAAACTGAGGTATGGATGTCCACATCACTAGCTAATATTAGTTCAGATCTGCAGTTGTATTTATTAGCCTACTGCTTTTCAGCTGTAAGACTGCATAGCATTATGATTTCTACTTGTATTTTTACTCTCCAGAAAAACTGTTTTTGTTAAATTGACATGAAGTACAGAAAAGATCTATATGAACACAAAGAAGTTTCTTTCCAATACCAAGAATTCTTGATTTTTTTTGAAGGGCTTATTAAAAAAAATAAAAAAAAAATCCCTTGACAACAATGCAACTGAAACCTCATCACTGTATAACCAGGTTGCATTTTTTCATTACATTTTAATGGTCAGGCAAATGAAAAATAAAGTTTGTCTTCAGATCCCTCAAAGTGCCAAATTGCAGTATGTACACTACAAAAAATCATCTTTTCTCAAAAATTTAAATTGTGTATGACATGGTGAATAAAGAAAAAGAGTTTGCAGAACAAATCAGGACCTTCTAGTTGAAATGAAATGTTAAAAAGAAAATAAAAATAATTTAGAAAAACTCTTATATTCTTAAGAAATGCACATATAAAAACAATGTATTTTCATTTTTGAAGCACATCAACAATATAATTCTCTTGTATGTTTCCAGGAAATATATGAGTGTTGCACCTAAAAATGACACAGGACTTCTGTTATTGGGACTTGCTCTTTTTCATCTCCTACATCCTCAACAAAAGAACAAGGAACTCTGCTCCTTACAACTTGATTTTTCACTGACTTCACATGTATGTAAGAAGCATCTCTATTTACTGCTCCATGTGGATTAATGTAAAGATAAAAATGTCTAATAGAAGACTTTAAAATAAACCCTTTGATATGACTGTCATTGAAAAAATACAGAGCAGAATGCTTTCTTACCAACACCCTGCAGCAGCCCCTTCACAAGAAAGTAAGGTTCTGCTGAAGGTTTTGGTTTTGTTTTTAATTTCTTGCCCACAAGGATATAAAATCATATAAATATACATAATTCTTTAAAGTCTTGCTAGAAAATTACAATTTTTGGAAATACTCCACTCCATACTTCATTCACTCTTTCTGACAAAAACAAAGTGTAAATGAACCTGATGGAAATAGAGAAGAGGGTGCTACATTCTCATTTTACTAAACCTGAATGAAGTTGTCTTAAAAAATGACATAGATGAATACAAACTGCTGATTAGATGTTGCTATCTGCCATACTAATCACATCTAAATTTGCAAATTACCCATGAGTCATGCAAATAATATTAGGCTAGTCAGAGAGGCTTTTTTTTCCAGTTCCAACAAATTTCAGCAACACTAATATGGAAAACACAAAGAATTTTATAAATGGATCATAAATTTATTGCCATTATACACTGTGTACCTCCTATAAGCCACTTAGATCTTACCACATTCCTCAACAAGACTCCAACACATCTTTGTATTTTCAGAAATGGTCACACAGTACAAGACAATATGATTGTCCCAGCTTCCTAGTGCAAAGTTACTACAGAGCAGTAAAATGCCAGTTCCAGGTCAACAAGTACAAGCACAAAGGTAATTTTTGTTACCTCAGGGTAACAAGATAACAAGCTTCAACTGCAAGAAATTAGTTGCTCCCCTTTACATTAACTTGCTTCATATCTCTCTTCCTCTAAAAATGAATATTTTTTCTCTTTAGTATTTTACACAGAAAATCACCATGGATGAGCTGGTGCAGTTATCTGTTAGCTCATGATAACTTGTCCCTAATGTGTTTGCATTCTAGATTCTATCTGGCACTTACATTCAATGCTTATTTCAAAAGTGACATATCAAACCCTCTTATACATATGCTCGTTTTTTTATGACATTTATCAGACAGTAGGATTTGGAAGTCCTGGAAAAATCAAAATTAAATGAAAGTCAGACTACATGTGATACACCAAGTTACTTTTTGTGGTTTGATGATTTTTTTTTAATAGCAGAATTTCTCTGCAATAGAAATTTTTTAAGTAATCCCATTCATACTTTAGATATTATATTGCATACAATGTCGAGGGGACAATGTTCAGAAAAGAATCTTTTAAAAATCCGGTGAGTCATGTCACTTAAAATACAATGCAAGCATCACAATTATAAAATCATTTGCCGCAGTGTTCACCTGCTCTTTTGTAGAAGGTCTCAGATATCATTACACAGTGATAGTTGTGGCCAAAAACATTTAGAATTGCCATGAACTGCCTTTTTGATTTTGATCAAAGGATAGAAAACATTCCCCAGTTTTTCAGTTCCTATCCCTCATATTTTAAACTCGGATTTACTGTTTACTATGCATAGAAACAACCTATCAATACAATGAAAATTACACTTGTTCTTTTTAAGAATGAATTTTTAAATATAAAACGTGAAGATTGAGGAAGGTTTTGGCTAAAGCTGTTAATCTGTTTAAACATTAAATCATTACATTCTTACCAGCTGCACTTCTCCAAAAGCCCCTCTTCCAATCACCTTAACAACATCATAGTCTTCAGCTTTCATTTGTAAAGCTCGTATTTTTTCCACAATCTTCTCATCTAAAACAAATCAAACAGAAGTTGTAATAATACATGCATTAACAGAATACAAGAATTTTAACTATTCATTTAGAGTAAAAATAAGCTATTTTTATTCAAATGTTTAGTGCCTTCTTGATAATTCTTGAAATCTCTAGTCAGTATTAATATCCTCTTCTATTATTTTTTTGAAACCATTAACCCTCTACTTTTAGCTGTAACAACTGAAATGTCTTCCATATTTTGCTTACTCTCATTTCACACCTCTAACAATCACTCACAAGCTTATGGGAAGACTGGTAATGAAGAGAGCCAGAGATGCCTATCTGGAATTTTCAATCGTTCCTTGCTGCACTCCCAGGATCCCCTGATGCTCCACTGATAACGCCAAGGTGGAGTACATAGCACACAAAAAGCCATTGCAGGTGCAACCTGCTTCTACACACCTGGAGGGTTCAACGGCACTCACATGATGTGGAATGTGACTCAGTAACCTTCATGTACAACTGCAGATCGCACAAAGATCTGGCACATCCAGCCATCCATTCCATACAGAACATTGATTCAAATTTACATATGTGTATGTAAGTGCTGGCCATCTCAAAGTGCTTTTTGGTGTTCACCACATGTGTAGTCCTTCACTTCTTAAAATGATGTCTACAATGCTCTGTTCAGCATTCTGCAGATAAGAACTGCCTGTCAGTATGTGTTTTATCAGCAGTTGTGATAATCTGTAAAATGGAAAACAGTGAAATTGTGGTCTCTCACGAGTTCTAAAAACACACGAGGTCCTAGACTCTTTAATTTTGTAAATTAAGCATGCTATGAATGCATTCCCAGCTAAATGCTTTTTAAAAATCTATTCTTACTATGAGGACAAAAGATTATGGAATCAGTGAATGGAATCCATAATCCTGGAGGTAATCTGAGGCATGACAAGCCCTTACACACACTTAGAGGAAGAACAAAACAAAGCAAAACAGGTAGCTGGAGCAAGAATTCTACCAGGGAAGAGCATGTAATTGTATGAAAAGCTGTAGATGCTTATATTCAGAGAGGCACAGAGGTTTATATTGCAAGATCCTTGTTTAGGGTCAAATACCATGGAATTTTATCCTTAGAAAGGCATTAAAGAGGATCTCAGATCTGAATACAGAAGAGAAAAGGATCAGAAATACAGTTAATCCAGTATGACATTAAAGATGACATGGTCTAAGGGAGTTAATGATAAGAACATCTAGTAAATAGCTTAACCATTCCTACATACTCATGGAGAACAGCTTGGCAGGCTACAAGCAATCCAGGAGATGCCTGACCATCAGGAACACTTCTTCCAAACAAGCAATAAGCCAAATCAGGGAGGCACTCTGATTTATTACTCACAAACAAGAACGAACTGACTCAGGGAAACAAAGTCTGTGGCAGACTTGGCAGAAGCAACTGTGAGATGGTGGAATTTAAGACTCGAACAGATCTGAAGAAGGAAAATAGCAGACCTTGGACTTCAGGAGAACAGACTATGGCTCGTTTGGAAAACTTGCTGGCAGGATCCTGTGAAAAGCTGCTGTGAAGGGCAGAGGAGTGGGCTGATCTTCAAAGATGACATGTTCATAGCACAAGAACAGTCTGTTCTAGTTAGCTAGAAATCGAGCAGGAATGGCAAGGAGCCAGTCTGCCTAAATGGGCAACCTCTGCCTCAACTCAAGCACAAAAGGTAAAGGTTTGGAACATAGAAGCTGGTTACCCAGCAGGAACCTCCCAAACTAGAAAAGATGAAATTGGGAAGGCCAAGCTCAGCTGGAACTGAAACTAGTCGGGATTATGAAGGGAAACAAGAGACTCTATAAATACACTGGCCACGAAAAGAATGAGGCAAATATGGTCCCACTGCTCTCACTGAGGGAGGTGATCTAGTACTAGGGACATGGAGAAGATCAAGGCAGTCGACAGCACAGTATCACAGTAGAGGAAGTTATGAGGTACAGACCAGTGAAGCAAACTTGGCATACAGCAGGTCTTGAGACAATACAGGATGCATCCAAGTGAGCTGAAAAAGCCAGTCAAGACCATTACCAGGCTGCTCTCTATCACCTTTGAAAGGTCATGGCAACTTGGGAAGGTGATGACTGGTAAAGTGCAAATGTCATGTCCATGCTCTAAAAGGGCAACAAGGAGATTACAGGGTGGAACAGCAGCCTGACCACACTGCCCAAGATGATCATGGAGCAAAATCCTTCAGGAATTCACTTCCAAGCACAGGATGCACATGGAAGGATAAGAACAGCCAGAATGGATCTAAGAAGGACAAACTGTGTTTGATTAACCTGATTTCCTTCAAGGACAAGATGTCTGTCTCTGTGGACAAAAGGAAAGCAGTACCTTTCCTTGACTGTAGCATGCCTTCCAGCACAGCATCTCAAAGTATCCAAAGTATCTTGTAGCCAAACCAGGTTGACGTGGATTGCACAGAGGAATTACCAGGCGAGTAGAAAAGTTGCTGGAGTCACAGCCAGTGTTTTTAAGTTCAAAGCTCATACACTGGAGGGCAGGGTGGCTTCTATGAGTGACCCAGATAGGACGAGTAATGAACTGAGAGGAAGCTCACAGTTCAACAACAGCAAGTGCAGTCCTGTAGCTGGGATGGAACGGCACCACTCATAGGAACAGGATGCACTCACCAGCTAGAAGGCACCATGAGAAAGAGGACCTGACAGCCCTGGTGGACAGCAAGCCAAGCAGAAAAGAACAAGAAGCCAGCCTTTGCACTGACTATGCAAGTATGTGCTGGCAACTGCATAGCCAGTAGGTTAAGTGAAGTAGATTTCCTCCCCTATCTGTCATTTGTGAAACTATATCTGGAATATTATGACTAACTTTGGGGTCCTCAGTGCACAAAATATACCAAACATACCCTAGCTTCATGGAAGACCACCAAAATGCTCCCATGATGCTCAAGAGAAGCTGAGAGAACTGGAATTGTTCAGGTTAGGTTGGCCTCAACACAAGTTGAAATGAGGTTCTAAGGGGTACAATACTTCTAAGTATATACAAAGTATATAATACTTCTAAGAGGTACAAAGTGAAAGGAGAAGAGTCACCAGACAAGACGAAATACTAGAAATCTTATTTTGTAGGAAAATAATCGTAAGAATTGGGGAAAGGTGCAGACTGTCAACTGGGGTTGAAAAGCCTCCATCTTTGGAAATTCTCAAAAGTCATCTGCACAAGAACTTGAACAATCTGATATAACACCAAAACTGGTTTGACTTTGAGTAAAGAGTTGGACCAATTGGCTTTCAGAGATCCTTCCTAACTTGTGGAACACAAAAACGCAACTGCAAATTTCTTCTTCTGAGAAGACTGGATGTAACAGGGAAGGGGAGAGATTAATGTTACAATGAGTGAATGGTGAGCTAGTAAATTTCTAAGGACAGAGGCACTTAAAATCTCCAAAAGTAAAAAAATCTGCTACATTCAGGGTACTAATAAGACGAAAGTAATTCAGTGTGTCAACAGGAAAAGGAGTTGAGAGAATTTTGATGTTGTTTCTATATTGAATCATGACGGCTTAGACGAAAAGCATAGGAAAGCAATAGTGCTTCACTTACACCAAGTTTATTATTTTTGTTAAAAATAAGAATTAATTTTGCAGATTGCAAAGGGAATGCTGTGTTTGGAAGTTAACTGCAGATCACAAGCCCTGGCACTATACAAGGAGGATAAATACAAATTCACAGGAAGCAGCAGTAGAGAAGGAATATCAGCAAACTTTAAGTCATGCAGAGAATGCAGACTTATATGTTTGAATACAATGTTACATCTCATGAGACACTGGAATGACATGAGTTTATTTTATATGTTTCTGACATGTTTCAATGTTTGCAAATATGTGAAATGAGCAGTAATCTAAACACATTGAAAAAGTAGTGTGTAGTTTTATGCAGCTCAATTTCTGAGAAGAAATTCACAAGAATATTTCTGTAGAAGGTAGGAACTATAAACAAAGTTACTATGGCTCCAGTGAAACTATTCAAGCATTAAATAATGCAAGCAATGAAAAATGCAAAAACATATGAAATAACCAACTGAAGAGTTACTAGTTTTATCATCCCTGTGAAATGCTGAGAATGGAGAAATCATACTTACTTTGCTAAAAGATGAATAGGATAGGATAGGATAGGATAGGATAGGATAGGATAGGATAGGATAGGATAGGATAGGATAAGATAGGATAGAATAGAATAGAATAGAATAGAATAGAATAGAATAGAATAGAATAGAATAGAATAGAATAGAATAGAATAGAACAGAACAGAACAGAACCCTTTCAGTTCAAAGGGACCCACAGTGACCATCACTGCAATTGTCTGACTGTGTCAGGGCTGCCCAACAGTTAAACATTGTTAAATGCCTCTTAAAACACTGACAAGCTGGGGACATTGATTGTCTCTCAAGGAAGCCTTTCCAGTGTTTGACCAATCTCAGGGTAAAGAAATGCTTCAAGTCTTGTCTGAACCTCCCCTGGTGCAGCTCTGGACCATTCCCACGTGTCCTGTCATTGCATCTCAGGGAGAAGAGCTCAGCACCTCTCTCTCCACTTTACCCCTCTTTAAAGAGCAATGAGGTTACTCCTCCTAACTCCTTCAAGTAAAATTTAATCATCTCAGTTAATAGTTATACCATACAGGGATGCAAGTGTTGTGAAGCTATCAGTTACACAGATGGACTGTCTATTTTGGCATAAAATCTTACAGATATGGAACAGATAATCAATGCATGGAACTAACCTGAAACAAAAAACTGGGGTGCAAGAAAGCAAGCTTAGATTAACTCTGAAGTCACACTATAATTGCAACATACTGGATCATAAGATTTAGTTCATGTATCACATAACATGATCTAATTCAGGGTGCAAGAGACCTTTCCAACAGCAGCCTTCTTATAGTGGTCTGAATTTTCAGATTTCACACAGATGAGTTTGAAAATTTTGGTATCTGTTTGCACGTCTTATGAATTTGCAA